AAATGAAAGCAAGCGGCATGCCGAATGTCTGGTGGTATGATATCATGGTTTCGTAGCCTTGGTTTAGGCGACCTCAATCATTATTATGATAAAAAAAAAATGTTGCCTAACAGTATGGCTAATTGTCATTCTCATGCATGAGAATAAGACAAAAACATAAGATCCTCTCAAAAAATATTGCCTAAGTCTATCAAGCAAGAGAGGCGGCATGAATAGTAGTCGACCCCTTATACGACGAAGTCTCGTAGCTATGAAAGCAGTCGACCCTCATTAATTTCACTAAGGGGCTAAAGACCGGCGGCAAATGTGTAGGCCGAGCAGCGAGGTCGCAAACCACATTAACAAGTTTAGCACGACCACCTGTCCCCATTCGAAGAAAGTAGAGTCATCAATCCCCCATGGAAGGGAGCTAAGTGATCTATCTACTCTAACACTTGAAATTATTTCAATACTTGATACTAATTCAGAGGGGCATGCCGCCTGTACCTTTACAGTCGGCTACTCTCCATTGATTATATCACTATATCATCAGAGGGGCATGCCGCTGTACCTTTACAGTCGGCTACTCTCCATTGAGTATAGCAGCGGTACCTCTATAGTCGGCTACTCTCTGCTTTGATTATTTTACTCTATCACTAGAGGGGCATGCCGTCTGGACATATAGTCGGCTACTCTCCATAGAAGAGGGCCGACTGGTTCCAAAGCACACAGCCACCCCCCTTATACTTAGCTAAAAAAGATTAGGGTCAGGCCGACCATGTGCCTAAACAAGCGGCTGCCCTCTTCTTACTTAGCACCTACGTTCGCCAAGAACTAACCAAGGCCACAGGCCCGATGATCAGCCTAGGCGCCAAGCCAACTGATCCAATTTTTAAACTAATACGACATGTCCCAACATCATAGCAGGCGTCCGACGGCATCCCTCCGGATGAAATTCGTCGCAGAGAGCAGCTCCCTTTCGGGTGGAACATTGCTCTATAAACTAATTACACGGCACCTATACGACTGTCCCCAAGGGCAACCACGTAGCCGTTTTTGAGACAAGGTAACTCTATCACTAACCAAACCAGTGGTAGCAGTTGACATCTGAGTCGGATGACCCCTGTATTACTTGGGATAAATTCAGGGGGTACCTCTTGAGTTAATAGCCAACAAACATTGGCGAATCAAAAGGTTCAGCCGGCCTCCGCCGCCTGGTACCTTTACTACTCAAGCAGGAGTGACGGCGACTGAGTAACACCAAAGTCAACTCATAGGCACTCCCTCAAACTTGGTATGGAACCTAAAAGGTTTGAGTAGACCGCCTGTTTTTTGGCAAACAGGGGCACTCAAACCCCTATTCCTACTAGGTAACCACTCCTTGGGCTAATAGCCAACAAACATTGGCGAATCAAGGGGATCAGCCGGCCTCCGCCGCCTGGTACCTCTACTACTCAAGCTAGAGAGTGACGGAGACTGAGTAACTCCCATGTTAACTCATAGTCACTCTCTCAAACTTAGTATGGAGCCTAAAAGGTATGAGTCGCCCGCCTGTTTTTAGCAAACAGGGGCTCTCAACCACTACTCCTGCTAGGTTAACAACCTTTGAGTTAATAGCCAAGAAAAACTTGGCGAATCAAGGGGACTATCCGGCCCCCGCCGCCTGGTTTCCCTACCACTCAAACAAAATAGGCAGTGATTGACTAACCGCAAGGTTAACCAGTCTCCCTCCTTAGTACGGAACCTAAAAGGTATGAGGAGTCCGCCTGTTTTTTGGTAAACAGAGGTACTTGACCACTATTCTTACTAGGTTGGCTATACTTAAAGCTGTCGTCTGTAACCCAACAGGCGTAGCTACTTTGGTTGGACGTCCTGTCTGACGCCTGCTTCTATGCAGCCACCAAAGCAGACGACCAGCCTTCCCCAACGAAATAAACTAAGTACCAAACTTAGTATATTGAATCAAAAGAGGCCAATGGCCGAATAATGCTAAACGCTTACCCCTTATGCAATAGTTAACAGTCCACCTGATCAGGGCTATCTGCATAGTGGGGCAAAGAATCGGCATCTGTCTAGTTCGACGACAATCATTATTATGATTGATTAACTTTGAAAATGTCATACCGCCCAAGGTATCAAAATTTTCTAAGTTAATCAAGTCCATCTCCCATTAGAACTAGACAAGATGCCGACCTAGCAAAGCTTCGAGGGTCTAACTTTCGAAAGAAGCAATCCCTCCTGGAAAGAGAAATTACTCCTTCCGAGGGGCAAATGTTTAGGGTAAAAATTACCCATGACAAATGGACCAATCCAGACCTGCCACGTGTCCACCACGTGGGCCATTCAGCGTCCGCCATTTGTCACCCTAAGAGGTCAACATGGACTAATCAGGCCACGCCACGTGGCCTCCCATATGCCAAAATAGGCAAAAATGGCCACCAAGGCCCAAAGTCCGAGAGAAGCCCAATTTGCCCTGGTTAACCTAAACCTAAAATTGGCACGCTTCTCAAGACTATAAATACTTAATTAATCTCATTAAAGGGGATTCAGCAATTAATGACTCTCACCTAGAGAAAACCAAAACACATTGATCACTCCTCCACTAGAGGAACCAGATCTCCTACCTTTACTTTCCGCATTTATCACTCCTCAAACAAGTACTAACTTGATCGTCGGAGGCGGAGCTCCTACCACAAGGAGTCTCCGTTTGTTTTGCAGGTACAGGCGTCCGGTTCCAGTCTCGGAATTGTAACTCTCCCGCAGGACATCAGAAAACCGGAAACAGGTTTAATCAATGTTTGGGTGAATTGAACATGCATGCATGGCATATCATTGTCATGCCTGATTAATCTTTATATATACTTCCTCTATTTCATTTTAGTTGACATATTTATAAACACGTTTTTCCATGCATGATTTTAAACCTTAATAAGGTTAACAAAAATTAGAATGTATGGCTACCACGTGATGTGACCATTCCACATATAAGCATGCAATTATAATTTAAGTAATGGGAGTTGCAACAATGATCAAATGGGGTTACCTTAATGGATTTGGGGTTATTGTAATAGAAAAATGAGATTATTCTTATAAATAAATAGTTAACGTTTCAATAGTCGAAATAAAAGAAAGAGGGTTACTCGAATGATCAAACAGAGTGATCACTTATTTTTTTAAAATTATTAATGTTACATGTCTAATGAATTGGGGTTACTCTATGGGCAAATTAAGGTTACCACCATGAATAATTGGGTTACTTATCTTAATAAAAAATTATTATTTTTATAAACAAGTGTGCTCATAGTGTCATACTATGTGTGGCTAGTCACACACAAGACTTACTGTATGGTATATATTTATTTATTATATTTTCTGTTGCACATAAATGACATGCACGCGACTGTCTCATTCTAGTCGTTCATCCCTTAGATAGTTGAATTGACTACTAGTAAACCAGTAGTCTAGTAAATCAGAGTATTCATCATATCATTAATTAGCTACTACCTCCGTTAACTATTATTTGCAACAAAGGAATATTTTATATCTCACAAATAATACCCCTTTATTGCAAATAATAGTTAACGGAGGTAGTATATAAATATATAATTATATATAATTGACTAGCAATCAAGCATACACCCCATATGATTAATATAAGTAACTTATGAATTAACAAGAAAAAATGATTTGTATTAACTAGATGTAATTTTTCATAAGATTTTATGTTACTACTTTAGCTCGGATCATATACTATTGGAACAAGTTCATTCCAGCCAAAACTAAATGTTCTTTATTTAATAAATACAATAATCAGAGAGAACATTATTAATTAGGAGACCCTTCTTATGAGGAGACCAAATGATCAGAATTTCACGTTACATAATGCTTATACATACTAGCTCAAATGATATACGTAGAATTTTCCATCCAAATCAAATCCAAAATATGGTATACAATTTCCTAAGAGCAAGTATTAAATCAAGCATAGTCACACAATCCATAAACACATAATTGTCCATCCAAACACTTGTGGTTACATTTGCCACAATGTCTCTTATCATAGGTTTTGTCTACGCACTTTCCATCACAACATTCATTAGTAAACTTGCACTTGCTATGGCAACCTCCACAATTCTTCTGATCAATGGTTAGATCAAAACACTTGTTTCCACAACATGTGAAGTTCTTCCCATACTTGATGTCACAAACCTCGTAGTCCTTGTGGCAATGATCCGCGGGCTTTAAGCCTCTTCCATGGTGGTTGTAGTCACTCTCAGCTAGGAACCGGCTAACCCTCTTAGAAGGAAGTAATAGAGAAATGTTCTCTTCTTCTTCATTAGGGTTTGGGTGATAATCTTGGTGATCGTATTTGATAGTGATGGAATTGAAAGCAGTGGTGGCTATCACCATGGTGATAGCTATCAAGGCGAATGCTTCACTGCCTTCATCATCATCCTCGGCGACATCTTCTCTTAATTATTGAGAATAATTCGAGGTGAGGAAGGCGGAAGCAAGCTGAGGTGAGCTAGCTAGGGGAAAATAGAAATAGTACGTGTGATATGATGAGATGTAAGTTGGATTAAAATGTAAGAGTAATTGAATGTATTTATAAGGGTGTAAAAAGTAAAGAACTAAGTTGACTTTAAAGTTGGTAAACTATTCTAAAAAAGGAAAAGGAAGGTGTGTTTGAAATCTTTAAATACTAGAGGCTTTTTTGAGAGATAACTAAAAATAGAAGTTTGTGTGTATCTTGAATTGTAGGGAAGTAGTAAGTTAATTTAAGTTGCATGCATGTTTAAATTACTTGAACAATAAGGTCCCTAATACGATGCATGAGGCTCATTCTACGTCTACAAGTGAACAAGGCTGCTTAGTACCAAGAGATTACAAAAGAGATTCTTGAAAAGATTCTTGAAGATAAGATTATATTCTCTAATTACTTACTAATAGCACATCAATAAGTCATGCACCATTTTCTCTATATTAGGGTCGAAAAAAATAACCAAATTCATCTAGCTTTAACGTTAGTACGTAAAATCTTCTGTATAGGGTGCACGCTTTTAAGAATATATAATTCAAAATATAAAATTATTCCAAAATCCGTTAGATGTTCATTTGGCATAAGGAACCTATTGATTTATTTGCCAAATCCGCCTCTAATTCCCTTGCATGTGTAATTGATGTTACAATCAATATTTTAGTAAGGTATAGTAATATCAATTATAACCACACATATATAGTATTTTAAGTTTTTAACACATGTAATTAGCTTCTTAATTTTACCCAACGTTTTAAAAAAATCCATATATATACTTTAACTTGTTTAGTGTTTTCATTTCTTCCATTGGAAGCTAACACTATTAATAAGTCAATAGCTTGATTTCCATGTCCTTATGAATGAAATAATGAATACATTATTCTTCAATCTATTACCAAATAAAGGGTTGACTTTTGAGTTCTTAATCAAATAATAAAGTGGTGTATGTTCAACTTCTTGTTACAGGAAACATCAGCTTAAAGTCAACTCCATGCATCTTCCATGTACTCGTATTGTTAAAATGGCTAGCTCAATAAAGTAAAGCAGAAACCTAATATGCAAGCTATTGCAAGCTAAGCCTCAAGAATGAAACAAGTGTGAAATGAGAAGCATTATTATTTCTGTTGTTAATATAACATTAATATAATTACCTCCTGTTAACAACTCAAAGGGTGCAAGGAAAACAACATTAATTAAGCAACAAGAATAATGGGCGACTAACCGTGTGACTAATTAGAAGCATGAGGCTCAGCTCATTATACTAGTATACTCAACGTTTACAAGTGAAATAACTTGTTAGTACCAAGAGATTACAAAAGAGATTATTCTTGAAGAAGTAGATTCTTGAAGATCTTATACATATAATCCCTTAGAACATCAATAATAATAACAATAAAAAATATATTCTATTTTCCCTATATTGTGGCCGGAATAGATTAAATCTATCTCTAATGTGAATGTGTATAGTATGTAGCATCGGGTGTATGTTTATAAGAATAATCCAAACTTTCTATCTATTCCAAAATTCATTAGTTGTTCATTTATCAAAAGAAAATGGCAATCTATCTTAATATAAAAATTAAAGGCAATGTCTGTCAAATTGATCAATTACACATATAATATAGCATTTTAAATACTTTATAAGCAATAACTTTTTTCTTTAATGGTTTAAAGGACTCTTGCCAAACCTTCAATTCAATCCTCATATTATTTTATAATTTGATCTATACATACAATATTACAGTATTTGCAAGTCAGACACATGAAAGAGGAAAGGGTGAGGATTGGAATCATCACCGTCAAGTATTGCAGTTGAGAGGATTCAATCTTATGATCTCGATTAAGGTTATAAGTTAATTAAATCCCCAACCTTAATTATACTAATTTAATTAAGCCTTATTCCATATATGTATTATTAGCTTATTAATTAGTTTTTCCAAACATCCTAATAAATAAATCCCTAACTTGTACAATGCTTGCCTTTCATGTTAATGATTTATTTGCATTAGTATAATAATTTATTAAAACATTAAGACTCATTTCTTTCATTGGAAGCTAACACTACTCATAGGTCAATAGCTTGGTTTCCATGTCCACATATATGAATACATAATTTTTCTTCATCAATCTATGAACAAATAAAAGGTTGACTTTTGAGTTCATAATTATTACAGAAAGTGGTGTATGTACAACTTCTTGTTAAAGGAAAAATCAGCTTGAAGTCAACACCATGCCTTTTCACTATATTCGTATGGTCAAAATGGCTAGCTCAAAAAGTAAAGGCAGCAGAAATCTAATAAGCAAGCTATTGCAAGCTAAGCCTCATGAGAAGCATTAATTCTGTTGTCAACTAACAATCTCAACATAACAATATAATTATTGCATGTTAACAACTAACTCAAAGGCTGGCCTGGAAAACAACATTAAGCAACAAGACTAATATAATGGACGACAAACTGTGTACCTAATTACATTAACACTGTTTTTATAGTCAACTTTCAGTATTAACATAGATATGGATCCCTTTTGTTAACTTAGAATTGCAACACTTATTGGAAGTAATAGAAGTATATTGCAAAGCACACTTGCTTTTTTGTACAATGACATCATCATGATGTCAATGTGACATCATCGTAACGTCAACATAACATCATCGTGGCATCATTAGTGTCAGCAATTACCTCAATAATTTTTAACAGTACATACAGTCAGTCTATTCTCTGCCTGTTTTTTTCCTTTTCAAAACCATAAATATGAAGGGTTTGTTCAAATTGACTGAACTGAACCGAACTTATTGGAGCTTAACTGAACTGAATATTTAATGAGAGAGAGAAATTAAAATAATATCTGAACTTAACTTATTGGAGGTGAACCGAACTGAACTTATTGGAGGTGAATTGAACTGAACTGAAAATAAGCTGAAGAGAACAGACCCTAAATACATAGTTCAATTATATAAAAATATACTTGTGTCAAGTACTCCTTCAATGTTCTTTTTACAAGGTGCAACGAATTGATTTTACAAAGACTCAAGAGCTTTATATAAAAATATACTTGTGTCAAGAGCTTGAGTTGAACTTGTTAATTAAAATAGTACTTCTTCTATATTTATATACTTGTAACACACTAGTTTTAATTAACCGCACTTACAGAAAGATAATAGACTAATTAAATGTGTAAAATAATTGAAATAATTTTTCCATCAATAATTTCAAACCAATACTAATACCTTGAGAATATTGGAAACTTGTAAAGAATAAAACCGGACTTTGAGAATGCGTTAAGGTTAGTCAGGAGCGGTTTAATGACTATAACACTCCTTAATAAAAATGTGTAAAAAGTAAGTGTATACTCTTTTAGCATGAGTAAAAATATAGAGCTAGGAATGTGACGAGCCTATTCGCAAGCTGCTTAGGCTACAGATTTTTAACAACATCTGTCTTACCAATATAAGACCACCTTGTAGGTGGACAAAGAGTAGAGTGAAACTAGGATACATGCTTGTAGTGACTCTCAAAAGTGGTCTTAGAATGATAAAGCGATCTTTAGTAAATGTTTCTCGTTATGATCATTGTTACCGTGTTTACACTTCAATTTTCATTATTATGCACAAAACACAACTTGTAGGTTTGGTTGTACATGCAATTTAACGATGAAAGAATATCAAGAGCCTAATACGATTCATTTTTTTCTTGATCCGTATTAGACCCAACAACCTACATGATAGTATATCTTTTTTGGACCTTGAGTGAGATTCGAACTCGTGACCTTAAGGTTACAATGTGAGCTCCTCATCAAATCCACTCGGCTAGGCACATTAGAAGTGGGGAGGGTAAAGGAAAACCCCATCCCAAAGTGTCTCTAAGGGTGTTTAATCCAATAACCTGACGGGTTACGAAATGCAAACCTTACCACTAAATCAATCGAGTCTAAATTCACAAAACTTGAAGTGATGAACTTATGCCAGGACTCCAGAAGTAATGGCGGATACTGAAAGCAGTGAACCACCGAAAATGGTCGTCAAATTTCGAGCAAGAGACTACGCCGCAGAAGCAAAGGCACATTCTCTCCCTCGAATTCCGGCCGATCTTCATCCTCTCTCCTCTACTCCTTCTCTCTCTCCTCAGGTTTTCGTTCTCAACTTTCTGTTCATGTTTATTTCGATTAAAATTAGCTATGTTATTTGCAGAAAAATTCAATTAATTTGTGCACTCGACAAATTGCATTAGAAATTTGTTGACTTGTTCATCAGTAGTTTAAAATTCGTTGATTTCTCTAAATTAATTTGATGTGTATGATTAGGAGGAATGTAATGAGGAAATCGGAATGTAATTTTTTGCACATTGAATTAATGCATTGTTAATTGTTCTGATTTCTGAGGGTTTGATCATGCAAATTAAGTGAAATTGATCATTTTTGATGTAGATAACTCAACACTGATTAATTTCGACCTTTGTTTCGAACATTTTGGTATATTTTGGATTATTTTTCTGTTCACGGAATGAATTTATACTTATGCATGAAACAAATTATTTTGTGCACTCGGGAGTGTGATGCGCATCATAGTTCATAACAAAACACATATCCTCGAGGTTAATATACGACTCAGAATAAATATTATGTAAGTATGATAAAATGACATGCAATTATATTGAAAAACAACATTAATTTGGAGGATGACACTCACTTGCTCAAAATAACGATATCTTTTTTTCAAGACAAATTAGACAATGCATTGAAATGAATGATCTAATCATAATTTAGAAGGACTAGATCTCCACACTGATGACTGATCACACCTAGTGGAGTCAAACATTTTCTCTTCGAAAAGAAAACCAAAAAATTTAGAATGAAACTGAGAGATTTTGCACTTACTATTTTTGTGATTCAGGGTGCGATACTGCGATTGGTGCATAGAAAAACAATTGTTAATTAGAAGAGCCTTTATTATTTATGTGAAATGCCGCCTATTGATTAATAAATGTTCATTTTAATTTTATATTTTCTCTGTCTGCTTACCAATTGCTTGTGCAATAATTTGTGCTTTAGGTTGATGTTAAAGATGAAGAGAAGGATGACACTTTTGATCCTTTACGAGCACCACGTGGCAGCATAGTTGTGCCTTCCAAAAACTCAGAGGATGCTCCATATGCTTCTAAATCAGATATCTCAAGCAGTTATGTTCAACCTCTCGGGAAAGATTGGACCACATTTAAGAAATTTTTGGTGCAGAAGTTTCCTCCTTCTAAGACGGTTGCAGTTTCATCGGTACGCGTGGCAGTCACCTGAACATCTTATATACTTAAAGTAGGCCAATATCCAAACCTAGTTGAAAACTAGAGACCCAAAACTGGCTCAACCTGTATAGGTACTCAAAAGACCCTAATTACAATATGATCCGACCCTAACCCAAACCTGAATTGAATTGCCATATTGTCATCTCTAAAGCAAATTTTGTATGTCTATTGCTTGCATCTACCCCATTTTCTTTGCTAGATCCTGGAAGTTCTTAAATAATCAAGCTGAACCCTTTTGTAGTTTCCAATGTGTCGTAAGAGATATGCCCTCTTCTGATATTTTCTGTTGAAATGAATGTTTTGTTTGACAAAGTTGCCTGAAAAACTCATTAGAAAACAATCAATTTTTGTTCTTCTAAAATTGTTTGGAATTTTTTTAGTAGCTGACTGAAGGAATCATGGTTTAGCCTCAATATTTTCACATTTCTCATGTTAGAACATGTAATATCTTTACTCTTTAGTAAGCTGTTATAATGACATCTTTGTTTCCATCATTTTCAGGCTGCTGATTTGGTGGTCGGAAATCATAAGGGTAATTGGGATCCTTTTCTCTCTTTATTATTATTATTATTTTTTTTTATTTATATGTCAGCTTCTTTGTTTCTACCTTTTTGTAAAACATGCAAGTATACAACCCGTTTTGATGTTATGACTTTTTCCCCTCACAAATGCTGCTGGTTGCCTCTTTAATGCTTTAAGCTACCTTACTCATTCCAAAATGATGCCTATTTATGCAGCATATGAGAAATTGAATACGCATTTGGATGAACTGGATGATCCACAGGGATCAGCTGTTGAGGATGTAAAATTTATCACACAGCAAGAGTATACTGCAAGATTAAGTGAAATGAAGAATGAAATTCTTTGTACTTGGGCTGCTGGTGATCATTTTAAATCTCTGAAGTTATCTGTTAAGGCAAGTTGATGAAGTTGTAGGATTTTTTCATTATCTTTAGTTGGACTCTGACCTTATGTATTCCAGGCACCCTGCCCACATCTTCATTATCATTTCCTAGTTAAATATAATAAGCTGATATATAGGTGAAGTGATCTTTGTATTTTAGCTGTAAAATTCTTCTAAGGCCATTTCTGGTAGGTTTTTTTTTTTTTCCTTATTCAAGATCATCACGGGTTTCTATGTGATTGGTATGATTGAAACCTCTTAATTAGCAGCAGAGACTAGCCAGAGAGTATATAAAAAGAAGAGATAAATTGCCTTAGAACAACCAGACAGACATAGCAATATCACTGTCAAGGAGGGCATATATTTATTTGGAGAGTGAATGACCACTGTAGTTATTTTTCTATGTGCTTGCAGGTTTCCTTCTGGGTTCAAATATTCTTCTACGCTTTAATTGTTAGTGATTTCCCCCATTTATTGAACTCTGTGAATTTATTATTGATTTGCTTCTCATTTGTGCTCTAGAAGTGATTGTAGGAGAAACTTTGCTTTCTCTTTTACCATTTCTTGTGGTCACTTGGGGATTAAGGAAATAAGTTTTCATTGCTTCCCACAAAGTTGCCAGACAAGCCACTTTTTGTGGAATCAGAATTGTGATTTTACCTCAAAAAATGTGTTTAAGATGAGTCCAATTTAATGTAGATAAGGGGTTCCATTTTTATTATACAACTGAAAATAAGTTAAAAATTGTATTTTCTCAAGCAGTTTTGATATTTTTCTCTTTATGTAACATGGAATTCAGAGATTGCTTAATTTGCAGGTTGCTAGGCTATTGAGGGATACGGCTTTGCTGCAATTTTATCCAACCTTGTTTACTCTTGCTACTGACATATTGGATATGCTTGGTGATATGGTATGGGAGCGCATCAAGCAGAAGGCCGAATTTTCAGAAGATGGTTCACAGATTCATGCTTTGCCAGGTTTTCGTCTTGTTTTTAATCATCACATTCTGCATTTTTTGGGTCTTGCTTCAATTTTTGGGAGTGCATTAAGCAGAAGGCCGAATTTTCAGAAGATGGCCCAATAAGGTTTAATAAGGTCCAATAAGATAAGATAAGTCATAAGTTTATGACTAACAAAATAAGATAGTATAAAATGAACTCAAGTGAAGAGAACATTACATTAATTCTTTCTTCTTTCTTATACTTCCTGCACTTCCTTTTGGTTGTTTTTCAGAAACAGTGCCCTCTTATTAGGGTTCAGGGATGTCAGTAGATGCGGGATTAGTGTATGAAAATATTCTTTCCATCAATTTAAGATAATTATGGTTATCTGAAATTTGCGATTGGTTTATGATAGAGGATTTCCAAGCGAGTGATGTTTGCTCAGATGCAAAAGAAACCTGTCACAATTGGTTTTGCAAGATCGGTTCCATACGTGATCTGCTGCCTCGAATGTGAGATTACTGCTTCTTACTCTAATATGTTCCTTATTGTTTAAAATCCTGCTTGCATTTAGATGCATTGAGGCACATATAAATGCAGATAACTTGCACTGAGATCCTAACATCCTCATTCACTTACCACTGAATGCTGAGATCCATAGATATGCAGAAAACAAATGATGAATACTCTCATAATGTATGTCTTAAGTTTTGTTAATTTTTTATATTCTATTATTATAATCTGATAAATTACGTTGTAGAGGCCATTTGTCCAACACTCCAACTGCTTATATCATCTAATCATCTGTTCGATATTCTTATTCTAAAGATTTCTCTTCTTCAATATCTCTTATGCTTTTCTGAAGAATTAACTTTAATGCATAAATGTTACTTGTATTATCTATGCACCTAGTCTGCTGATTGCTATATCTTGTATTAACTGGTTTAACGAGCTGGTAAATTGCTGATTGTTTTAAAGTGTTTGGTCTTTAAGTGTTAAATATTAGCAAATTCTGTGTATGTAATAGCCAAAAAAGCTTATTTGAAAAAGCTCATATAACAAACTTTTTTAAAAAGAGTTTTTGAGCCTCAAAAACTCTTTCAAATGGTCAAACCTCTAGGCCTCAAAGCTAAAAACTCTCCTGAAAAACTGTTTACAAAGCAAGGCCTTAACCAACTTAAGTTTCTTTAATTAACTCACCTACTTTGTAACAATCTTTCTCCTGTCAACTCATACATACCCTTCTCCATTACTCCTATCGTAACAACCAATATCATCACCTACCAAACCACTACTCCCACAGTAACCACCGCCCACCTCACTAAAATCACCACCACCCCCATTACTCTGTCCGAAACCACCACCTCCAACCCCACCGAGCCTTTGATAGTTCAAAACCACCATCCACCTTTACAAATCTCATCAAAACCACCACCCACCTTCACCACTTTTTGCCAAAACAGTCTATTCCATCACCACTGCTATTTAGTTCCCCATCTCATTCTTGAATTTACTCTCTCCTCTCTTAATTGTACTGGTGCCCGACGGTCATGATGACGGTGATTGGGATGAGGAGAAAAGGAAGATGGGTTGTTTTTTGTGATGGAATTATTTTACTAATCCATTTATCTTTATAAGTAACTTTGATTGATTTTTTTAGATCTGGATATTTTCTTTGAAATTGAACTATCTAACTCAGATATATCAAGTTTCGTTGTTGTTGTTTTTTTCCTAGTTGATTTTAGGGCGATGGTGGAGGCGGCAGCGGTAGGGGTTGTGGAGATGGACGGTTATGGCTGTTAATTAATGAAATTGGTAATCTGCAGGGATGACTGATGAATTTAAGGGAGTAAGGTGAATAATTAAAGGGGTTAATGAAAGAGTTTAGTCATTTGGGGACCAGTGAATAGTAATTTTCTTAAAATGTGTGCTAAAGGGTGTTATGCAATTATTTAAAAATGGAGGAAGCAATATTATATTGTAAAAAATCGATTTTCTTGTTATAAATTGTGCATCGCATGAGTTCTAATCTTGTTCATTACTATTTTACTTATAAATGTGTGTGTTAAAATATGGGCGTGTCAAACAATGCAGCTACAGCCCATCCATTTTCATGATGTTGCTATAGTGGAATAATATGATTGAGGATTCACATGGATAGGGACACAATTTAGCAACTATTTATGCTGAAGATTAGATACAGTAGAGTTCTAAATCAAGTAAGATTTGTTTGGAAACCACCTATCATTTATTATATTTTATTTTATTTGTTTGGAAATGTAATATGCTTAATTAGTTTCTTGCACACTAATTAGAATTTGTTCCTGAGTTTTAATCTTATTTAATTGGATGTAATTATATTTAGTGTGATAAAGATAATTTACTTTTAGAGTGTAAAGCCTTTGAGAGAGAAATTTATTGTTGTGAAGCTTCGAACATGTTATCAATCTGGCTTTACTGTCTTGGTCCATTGCCATTAACATCAAACTCAAGAATCATTGTTATGAATCCATCGAAATGCTTAACAAGATTTATATAAATAACAGAAGTTTTTTTTTTTTAATTATTTTTTTTATTTATTTTTTTTTTTTTTTTTATGCAACCCTGTTATAACTTTTGACATTTCTTCTGGTTTTTTTGCCACTACCTTATGAGAAATTTTGTATTTCAGCTACTTGGAGCTTGCTATATTGCCTTGTTGGCGTTTTTTACTTGATGATACCACTGATGTAATCCAACGCTTGCTGGCGATGATGCGTGGGCTAGGCAATCCCTTGGCATCTGCATATTGTCATCTATATATGGTCTACTGTGTTCAGAAATTACCTTTATGCCAAAATGGTATATTCAATTGAAACTTGCATATTTATTTTGTAGTACCTGTTGGGTTTATGCTTAATATGTATGCCTGTCTTTTGTTTCTTGTTTATTTTTTTTTTATTTGTTATTTACGTCGATGTGGTTCAACTTTCAATTTTACTGTATTTGATTCAAAGAAGTTCCAAAAGCTTTCACTAAATGTAGGGGAAAAAAAAAATGGCTTTTGACAACTCAAAGTATTGGTTTTTATATTAATTATGATACCATTTATAAACTACCCAATTTGCAGGGTATCTTGTTACTTGCATTAAAGACATTAATCGCATGATGGTACCTCTTGTTGCATCGAAAGAAACCACAGAAGGTAGAAACACCCAGAATAATCAAGTCCTTGTTCACCTCATGGAACCATCCATGTGGTACATCATGAAATGCTTATTTAAGGATCATCAGGTCAGTGAGATATTAAGTATGTAACTTTAGTGATTTCTATGTTATTTGCATGCTCATTCCCATAGGACCACTGTACATAGAAATTAGAGTGATATTTAAAGTTTTTTGTTCTGTATCTTTTTCAGGTTATTCTTTTCTTAATCTTAGTCTATGGTTTCCTTGAATCTGTCTTTTCTTCTGTTTCTTTCCCTCATGCTTAATGGATTTTGTAATTCTTGAACTTCTTACATGTGGCTTTTCCTTCTTCCTACTGATGACTGATCTTATTTGCTTGGGACTATAACATCCCCCTATCTTCAAGGCTAGTTTCTTCTCTTTCATAGCTTTCTAGAATCTGGAGCTTACAAGTTCAAAGATAGATATGAACTTTAGTTCATGCTTTCTGGTTTGATTAGTCATTAATGAGTTTAGCTCTTACGCTCTTGCTATATCTATTTCATTGTCTTTTCTTTTTCATGTATCAAATTGGATTTCCATCAGATTCAAACTCTGTTTTGACAAGGAATTGTTTTTTGAGAGCCATTGAGTGCAATTATAACTTGTGCTGGCAATAATGTTTAAGTGTGATCTCAGCTTGAGGTTGCTGGCAATAATAGAAGCCAGTGGTGTTTTGTGGTTGGCGTAGTCTTGACGTTACTTAGGAAGTACAAGATCTTCAATTTCTCTAGTATAAACCTAAATCACAAGAAAACTTAGAAGCAAATCTTTGTTTCTGAATAAGTAGCTTTGCTTGCTTCTAGAATTTCAGGATGCGGCTAGATCCTAGGTCAGATATAGTCATACATATTATCAGTTAAGGGTACATATTTGTTGTATATGAAAATCATTTACATTTAAATAGGACTAGGTGTCCTGTACTCCTCTGTTAGCTATTAGAGTGTTGTAACTACACCATGCATCACTGAAAGACAAAGCATTGAAAAGCCTTGAAGAAATCTCAAAGCTAAAGCTTATAAAACTACTCTAGTCAGTCCCGTAGTCCCCTAACCGCATTATGATACATCTCTGACCACAAAACAGAGGATTTCCAATCTAGTGCATGACAAAGGTAATTTTTTTGGTGCATTAACATAGGTTGCTTACTGCAACCTTTAAGTCTTATAAAGTCTAGTCAGAAATAAGCTAAGAACACAACATTATCAAAAATAGCAATGCAAAACTGCTGCTTATAAGAAGGGATCATATGAATTCAGAAGTCTAGCTTATTTTCTATGTGAATTTGTTGTTAATAGAGAGAAATGGTTTTGCTATTTGTGTCTTCTATTGTGAAAAGCGGATGGTTCCTTTTCAGTGCCGGAGACTGCTATATGTATATTCAGATGATGGTCTGTTTTTGGAATTTTCAGCATTTTCATGTTTCCGAGATGCAGTAAGTGGATTTTGAATTTTTAATAACAAGAGTCTATCCCTAGTCATGTGTTGGATGCAGGCTTGGGTAACTGCTTACATTAAGAAGGCATTATGCAGAATGTTGTTTCCACTGAGAATTGTATGCATTATGCTACCTTAAGGCTATATGACATCTTATCAACCCCAGTGTATAGGCTTGACAGTACAGCTCTTGGCTGTAAGGATGGTGATGATAGAGTAGTGGACTACTGGACTGTCTTGGGATGATGGGTTAGAATCATTTGTATTGTACTTATGTCCATGTTACATAAACCAATATTGGAGGATTTCTGATGACTTAGGTTTGTTATCATGCGCTGTGCGCCTGTGCCTCATCTCACTCCTTGCAGATTGGAACTTCATTGGGAAGGATTGAGCTCTTTCCTAGGTGAAGACCTCTCTGGACGTGACTTACCATTGATCATACTATACACTACTTAATTTTTCCATTAATATCTGTGCTGTGCTGAGAAGAAAGTGTCTTTTTTGCATTGCTTTGTAATACTTTCTTGGACTTTTATTATTGAATGTCCATCATAGTGACATAGTCTCTTGGCTTAGAAAATATTTGTTTGTAAAGTTTTGGTATGCTTTCTTCTTGTGGATAAATCCTCTTATTTTAAAGTGCCTAGTGGGGAGGGAAAGGGGTGGCTTCTACTTACTGATCTATTACACTAATGGTTTCCCTAAAAGTTTGCATTTAATACTTGTCTTTAGCTCTCTGGTTATCTCACTCATCTGTGTAACATAAAATACAAACCATTTATACTGCTAGCTGACATTTGTGTGTTTGTGTGTGTGTGTGTGTGTGTGTGTGTGTGTGTGTGTTTTAAGCAAGGATGCAATACACTTTTCAAGCTTGGAATCACAAGGAATTTATCAGAGTTGTTTGGCGAACATTCTTGTGTCTCACTCAATCTTCATCATCTACTTAAGGAACTCCCACCTGAGGCTGTTAGATCTAATATTCTGCACATTCTTGACCTCATTGAGTGCGGCATTGGTTCATCCTTTGATCAGGTCTCTGTGTATTTTTGCTTCAAAAAAAAAAAAAAAGATCTCTCTGTATTTCTCCTGAGTTGAAATCTTAACAAATATTTATCCGATGTATGCTTTCAGGGGAATTGTTCAATACTCATTTGTTTTATACTTTCACCCTAATTTTTAGTGTATGAATTTCCGGCTCCTTGGATTCAGGCTTTATGAAACAGACGCTCCTGTGGAGATCGTCAATGTGGTTTTGGAGCGAGTGATTCAGGTCTATAATGTTTCTTACATGATTAATTCATTCTTTCAGTTCATTTGTACCACCTGATCTTTCTTGATGTATACCTGTTTTTTGCAATCGTTTGCTTGTAGTTTTGATCTTGAGGGTAATTTATCTTATAGGTCAGGGATGCATGTATGAAATTATCTATTTTGTTTCAGTTAGATAAGTGCTTGAAACTAGATCCTGATTATCAAGAGCTGTTACCTGCCCATATTGTTAAGCTTTCATTATAATACACGGCTTTTCTCCTCACTCTATTCACTCTTCTTAGGTTTACTGAAACAAAATTATTCGCGTGTGTTATTCTTGAGATATTGTCTGTGTAAGATTAAGCAGAGACAAATAGATATTGATGTTGGATCATGGATTGTATATATCTCCAGTTGCCATTAGAGCTGATTGTATATCGTCAAGTTTCATGTTGCAGCTTTTAACATGGAGCATGATTATAATTGCTCTTTACATCTTCCTATCAATGTTGCTGACTAATATATGGAATTTCAGGATGTTATTGAGTACCAAGTCCTGGATGATTACCTAAAAGTCATAGATGGTTATGTTGATGTTGTTCTTCAGAATCAGATGGTGAGTAAGAGTAGCTGTTAAATGATCCTACTCTGCAGTTGCTTGAAAACAAATGTGGCTTTTTTTAAAACCCGATTATTGATTGAATACATGGTTTTAAGAGTTGATTTGATAAAAAAAAGGATGTAAATACTGTTTTTTTTTTTAACCTGATAGAAAGTGTAGACCCGTTACTTAATCCTTCTTAGTTCCTCCTGATCAACTGTATTTTTTATAACAGAAAATTCAATTGGAAGGGCTACTTGAGAGGATTGCAGAGCGAGCATGCAACAAATGGATAAAAGACAGTGAGCTCGAGAGCTTGCAGTCTGTTTTTATCAAGATTCTTAGTCATACAAAGTGCTTGGAAGATATTATAGAGCTGGTATCTCTCCTACTGTCCTCACATTTATGTGTCTCAGATTTGATTAGATGTTGTATGCTGTAAAAGTGTGCTGGAGCACAACTAGTTTATTATTATTACTCCCATTTCATGATTTTTGTTTTTCGAGGTTATGCCTATACACAAGTTACATAATTGTTTCATACAATTCTAATTAGTATATTCATTGGTGTTTTAAATTGCAAGTTTTTAGTGCATTGATATTGTAATTACTATGTAATGTGATAAAGAATACTACGCCATAAGTTGCTGTGTTGACATATTTTACCCCTACCACCTTCCCTTTAAAAAAGAACATTTAACTTGAATTGTGTGACTATATGAAGTATTTGCATGCTCTTAGTTTTATGTTTCCAAATGAAGTTACTGGAGTACATGCTACTGATGCTAGTCATCTCAATATCAGTTTTGATGGTCCTTGCAGAATTTCTTTGCTGAAATCATGGATGTCATGCGTGGGACTTCAAAGAATGCCATCAATATGCGTATTCTTGAAATTGCTACCAGGTACATAGTATCATCTAATTTGGTCTCACAGTTGCTATCCTGATGAATGAAGTTTTTTTTCCCCCTTTTGTTATACTCTTTGACTAATGACAAGTCGAGTTCACTAAAATGCAAATTAAGGACAATAATCTATTTTCTTTTACTACCTCAACATAAGAGAGGAAAAATTTGTTTTCCAGTTCATCAAAGCTCTTTTAGGCTTGACAGAGATGAGCCGAATAAAGGGTTGAAATTTTTAATCAATCAATGGGATATCTTTTACTTATTTTACACAATTCTTTAGGTCAAAATATCAGGGCAGCAGCTTTCTCTGAACAATGACGAGCAAATAAAAATGCTCATATATGAATAGGTTTACAGAGGAGAATCTGGATCATCATGTACTAGCCTACAGGTGTAATGTGTAGCAATTCAGGCATGCAGATGGTATGGCTGTAATAATTTGATACATATAAAACATATCCTTTCATTCCTTTGTAGGATAATGGCTTTTTCCCCAACTGAATTTACATATAATAAGATAAGTTTGCACTCTTAAAATATTCACTAAAAGTGCTTTCCCCTTTTATTTTGTACGTAATAATTAGATTAAGCTATATAAAATGTATAATTTTAACTGTAATTCATAAAAAACTTGTGGATTGGGTAAAACCTGTCATAGGTCTTAATATTCATTCTGAAATCTGTATATTCTACTGTGACAACATATATTAACTATTAAGGGAGGGTGGTGTTATTGAAGGGTAATAATAGACGGAAGGTTAAAAAGTTCGTCTTAGTCGTTGAAAAGAGATACTTCCTTCGGCTTTTTAGTTGCAACATTTCTGTATATATTAAATAATGTACATGTACAAGTTATACAAAATATATTTGAACAAATAATTCATTGAGACGAATCTAACAAGATACAATATTATTGTTTTTCGTTAAGTATAAGGTCTTGTTTTCTTCACCTTAATTTTGCTAAACTAATATTGTTTTTGCTGAACTGAAATTATTTTAATTTTGCTAAACTTGGAGTTTATTTTTTCCCTGAAATAATTTTTAGTGATGGATAGCATTTGGCGCCCACATGTTTGAATTTAAGGGAACTTGTTTATTACTTTATACTGGGGTTCTCTATTATATATGTTCTTTAAAGTTTATGATTTTTGCTGATTAAAAATTATTTTTGCTTTAACTTATATTTATTGTACTGAAATTAATTTTACCTAATGGTTTTACTGAATATTATTTGGATAGGATGATGAGAATAGGGGCTAATAAAGTTTATTTAAAGTGGAGTATGTGAGTAGTGTACACTGTAGAAGTATTGCTATTGAAATAAGAAAAAGTAAAAAGAGGAACTATAAAAAAAAGGCGCTTACTATTAATAGCTTGATACTGCAGATGATATGGAACCCCTCTCTCCCCCTTCCTCCCCTGCTACAATAAAATAGGGGTATATATGAATTATAAAATAACAGTACTGAGGGTGAATGAAAACGAACAAAAATACATTTTATTTGGTATACAATAGAGAGTCTACACTCTACAGGATAGGGATTATGTAATAAACGATATGAGCAATGAGAAGTTAAGCAGAGAAGTAGCCTCAATGTCCTCTTCAACATCCTAATATATCATTTTGGCTGACGGGCAGGTGGAGTGACTCTTTCTGAAAAATTCACTGGATCTAATTTTGTAGCAAGTAGATTGAAACAAAAAAGTAGCACTGATGTAAGCTAACATTATTGGAGTATTCTTTTTTAAAATTTTCAGGATATCTTGAGAATGGATATGCGATAAAAAAAAAAAAATTTAGAAGAGGGGTTGGATTGAATAAACCTTAGATGTTTCAATATGTGTATATCCCAAAGATGAAATGACTAACTGAAAGGTATTTTAGCAAGCAGCCAATTACAGGTTTCAGTATCTGTATTATGTGCTGTTTCTGATAATTGAAGGTGTTTTGAGTTGATGATTAGGCAGTATGAAAGGCTGATGCATTGCATATTTTTTCTTTCTGCATATGAATGCTCCGACACTGATCTCATGTATCTCTGCAATTAAAAGTCTTTTCATACTTTCTGCAACTAGAAGCCTGGGGATTCAAGTCTTTTGCTTTTGGGACTTGTCTTAACTAATTTCAGTTGTCTTCATGTCTGCCTAAGTACATCTTTTTTATCTATAGGAATGGATGTATCTGTTGTCCGACTACTATACAGTTCCTTTTCGAAGTTTGTCAGGGTCTGCATAATGCCAAGGGCTCTTCAGACATGCTGGACAGTGATTATCAACCTTTGGAGCGTTTATGCTCTCGTTTTGTGCAAATGGTAACAAGTCATATATACACAATTTCAAACCCTCTTTTTTTCTCCCCTCTCCCAATTTTATAAGTAACTCTTTTTGTGTTATGTGAAATTTATTTACCATCATGTGCTGACGGTGCTGTTACGTGACTTGTAATTAGTGATTTTGGAAACTGTTGAACAGGTTGATTTTGGGACTGAGTGGGAACGTCACCTGGCATTTTTGATTGAGTGTCGTGCAACTTTTGCTAGTGCAGATGAAATCAAGGTCTGTACTCTCTACTAGGCATGCCACTAGGTAAAGCAAATTGTTGTCATGATTAGTTGCTAAATGTTTTTCCTTCTGCTTATGTTCTCAAAGCCTTGATAAATCAATTCTGCCCTCATCAATTAAACAGGGAACTGAACTAGAAAGATAAAAGGCAAGACCTTTGGACTGTCCATTAATTGGTATTACAATTTTTTTTTTTTTTTTTTTTTTATTTTATTATTTATTTTTATTTTTATTTTTAATTAGCAACTCTATGAATGACATCAATTTCAATGATGCATTAGAATCTTTGATTTAGTTGATTTGGATTTTGAAATTATTTGAATTGATAGGGGGAAAAAACCGTTTATTTATTGCGCATAATGAGATGATATGTGAAAAACTTACTATGTTTGGTCTTTGGAGATAGAGAACTAGGTCCAATATTCAGTCTCATGTGCCTGCTATGTATTTCTTTAATGTTGTAAAGTTGCTTCCCTGTCGATACCTTTAAACTAAGGATCTGACATACATGTAGTATTCAGTCTCTTGCTGATTATTATTGTAGGGACATAACTACATTTCTTCTTACAACCTACCCGGACTACAATAACCCGCCATAGGTGGAGCCTTATAAAAAGGCATTGGTGCAATTTTTTGGCGTGTTAATATACTACTCTGTTTGAAAAAAGCAGTCCACATATAATGTTTTTGTGATGTTGACTGTCACCATTATTTATCAACAGTGTATCTTACGAAGGCATACGTTGAAGAATTTTGCAGTAATTTAGAAGTGCTGAAAAAGAAATAATTTCACATTTTAGCTTGATATATATATATATATATATATATATATATATATATATATATATATATAGTAGTCAAAGTTTGGAAACCTTGACCATTGAAGTGACTTTATTTTCAAAAGGACATAATAATTTCTATGAATTACTTTTATGTAATGTTTCCATTTGTTGCAGGAAACTCTTGTTCATCATGCAAACTGCTTAGTGATGAAAGCTTTGAAGGATTCAAAGCAACTTGTCTGTTTTGGCAAGTCCTGTTTAGCATTTTCTGAAGCTACAATTCCTTCTATTGTGACTCCTGTAAAGCAGTTATATCTATATCTTGAGACTGCTGAGGTATGAGGCTTCAATGGTTTTTGTTGTTGGATTAGGTTTCTGAATACTGAGAGTAATCACATGATGATCTGTTATATACTTCCAGGTTGCATTGACCAGCGGCTTAGTTTGTCATTCAGATGGATTAATAGATTCAACTTTAAGTTCTCTTCAAAATTTTGTTGCTGAGGGTTAGTCTGTTTCCCTAAATTTTAAAACATTCTTGTTTGTCGCTGGTTTCCTGCTTGAGCTCTTCATAATTTGATGTCTGTTTTGTCAGCCAGATATTTTAATGCATTAGCAGCTCAGTTGAATCGTTTACTATTTAAGCCATTGTTATGTACCAAATGTTGTGGTTCCAAGTGATGCACTATGAGTTCATTCTACAATAGACGGCTGGTGAAACATTGGGTCACAGTTTCTGAACTTTATTTGTCACTTTGTTGTAGTTGCAATAATATGTACTTTTGGTGAATAAAATTCAACACATTGTGGGAAATGAAGTACTTTACAAGTTATCATGCAAATTTTGCTGGAATAATATTTTGGCTAGAGTGAACTATACTATCCTACCAAAGCTACTTCTAGGGTCCTCCACTATCTTGGTTGTTCTATACAACCACAATCCCTCTATGATTGACAGACTTTCTTCTCTGATTATAATTATTAGTCTCAAAAGATGTGTTTTTATGTGGCTACCACAATCATTTCTTGCTGAACATTCAAACTATATACTCCCTCTATATATTAATAAGTGCTCCACTTTCTGTTTTTGGCCGTATTTCAATAATTGCTCCATTTCTATTTTTGGGAACTTAGAACAAAAAATTACTATTTTCCTCCTCACTAGTGTTCCCCTATTGTATTATTTTTTTTGATTCTCTCTCCTTCCCACTTATACCCTACTATTGCTTTTTCATATATTTTTTTTATTCTTCATTCAATCAACCCCACTTCAATAGTAAATTAATGCATTCTACTAATTCTTCTAAAACGCTGTGCCAGGGAAATGGAGCACTTACTAAAATAAAAAGGGAGTATTCTTTTGCATTAATAACTACAACTGACCATTGATAGAAGTCACTGAAAGAGTGAAAGGTAATTTGTAGACAATTAATTTTACTGGGTTTGACCTGTAAAAATGCTTTTACTAAAATTTTCTAAGAGGAGCCTAAGACCTACCTTCACAAAAGTGGTATGTATATTGGTTATTAGTAGAGACATTTATCTATCTCCATTCTGGTTCATTTAGACATTCACTGGCATTCGTGACATAGTGGATGTGATAAGCTGATAAATGATCAATCAACAAGTAGATAGAGGGAAAGATACTTTGGGAAGCTAGAGAGACAGAAATAGTGGGACTGCATGTGAATGCTGATCGTGCCTATAAAGATTCTTTAAATTGTAAATGCTAAAACCATCTATCTTTAATAAAGAATCCTATGCTAGCATATTAAAATGTTCTGTCAAGGTTTCCACCTGACGAGCTACATGTTTCTGAGAAGCACAACTCCATTATCTTACGCGTCCAATTGCGCAATGTTCATTCCTAAAAAAATTTTAAAGTCTCTGTGGAAAACTTGCCTTCGGTTCATGATGGAAGATGTCTCCAATGATGAATCCTATTCAAAAAACCTTGCTATTATTGTTAAGGAAAATGATGCAAGATCATAGTTTAGTCTTAGGTTTAAACAATTTTCTGACATTTCAGAACTACCACTTAAGATTTGAGTGAATGAAACCTGAACTCCATGTATAGTATGTGAAAGCTTGGTGACTTTCTTTCGCAGTGCTCCTGTTACTAATAAATGTCTAATTTGCGTACCCAGAATATGTATATGGATTCTCTGGAGTCTGGTTGCTTTGATTTTTCTTGCCGTGCTACTTCATATCATTTATACATTCACTGTTACTCTGTTAGTGATAAGTGTCTTATTTGATCACCTGGGCCATGTTTATGGATTATCTGGATTGCTTTTGATTTTTTCTGGTGTGGTACTTCATATCATGTGTATTACAAACTGGAAATTCTTTTTAACATTAATTTTGTGTTGTAGATTCAGGGACACTGCTTGATGTTGGTAGAATCATCTGCATAATACAAAAACTGTGCAGCCTTTTGATCATGGTTCCAGGTACTATAGATGGACTTAGATCTCACCAATCTTATTGAATTTTCATAAATAAAAGATTATTTCAGCTTGTTTTATGTAAGCGTTAGGTTGGCAAAAAAAAAAAAAAAAAAAGAAAAGAAAAGATTTTCCATTTTGTCAGTGTGCTATTTACACACTCATCATCCCATTAACTGTGAAATGTGTTATGAATCATGTGTTATATTCTAGGAAAAAAAAGGAGGAATTAGTCATCTCCTGTGTCCAGTGATTCTGTGTTTAGGCAGGGGCAACATTTATTCAATCCAACTTTTATGCCTATGGTTATATATTTGCAAGTACAATTCCGCTTTGCACACTTCTTCCCGTCCACTTGAAGAATTCAACACTCCCATTTTTTTCGTTACATCTTCCAATGACCAATTATCTATCTATGCTTCGAAATTTCCTACCAGAATACTGAATATTATTGCATCACTTCTAGGTAACCCTATGCGTGGAGTCACGTACATCCCAAAGAGCTTACTCTCACTGGTTAATTCTCACTCATTGTAAGTTTTGTTAATATAAAAAGAATGATACTTCCAATACTTTGTTTTCCACCCCTTATTTATTCAATTTATTCTCAGGCAAAATAATGCTAGATTAAGAGTCAGAACATTGTGCGCAAATATTATTTTGCTGGCAGCATTATCACAGCATAAACTCCCATATAGTCCTTGTGGCACGAAAGAGGTATGCGATTTAGCTATGAGATATCTTTTATATATGCAAAAAACATCTTTTGGTTGTCTTGACAATGAAAATTTTCGTGTCATTCTTAGGAAGCTTAACTTTTGATATAAAGAATATATGACTGTACTTTGCTAATTAATAAATTAAATTTTACTGGTTTTCAAAAAAAAAAAAAAAAAATACTTGTAATTTTTTTGGTTATTATGACCACATAATTTTTATCCCCTTGAGATTCCGTATAGGCCCTCACTTCTTGGTGGTTGTATATACTGCTTTAGATAGGGTGTAGTATTATCCAACTTGCAGTTTATAAATATTAAAAGAATAGATTTGTGGCGTCATTTATATTTTTGATATAGTATCCAATATCCAGTAACTTATGATTGTGCCCCGAATAGGCTAGTCCAATTGCTTAAGAAGAGCTTATAAAGTTTCCATTTTTGGCTGGCTGGCTGCATTTGTATGTGTAGTTGGCTATTTAGCGCCATACTCCAATGGGCTTCTCATATGCTGAAGGCCTGAAGACTTCTGGAGTCCCATATGAGGGTTTTCTATTTAGTTGTTTATTTGAAAGATTACCATGTTTGAGGTGGTTTATTTTGCCTTATGAAATCAGTGAGAATGATGTAGGCTATTTTGAATGAATTGTCCGTTTGTTTATAAAAGTTATTATTTTAATGTTTTCCCATTTTTTCATCAGGTTTGATGGACATGAACTTTAATTGCATCTTTCCATAATAGTGTTCCACTTCCCTTCTTTATTGAATTTTTAAGCTTAATTTGTCATTACTGAATTAATGGCTTAGGTTACTCAATTAAGATATGAAAAAGCTATATGTTTCTCTCTTGCTTCTTATGGTATAGAGTGATGTCATGCAGGTTCCTGGTAATGACATCCTGTATTTTGATGATCTGTACTACCATGAGGAGCTTGCATCTATCTCTAGTCACATTCTTCAGGACTTTGTTCATGCAGTTAAGGAAGAAGCTTCCCCGGTATGTTTATCTTTCTATGAGTTGTTGCCTTTACAACCGAGTTTTTATTATGGGCTCTTATGTTAATAATTGAATGTCACTATCTAGATTGCTCGGGGAAGCCTTGCACTTGATGCTTGCAACTGTATTGTATCAGCCCTCCAGGTTTGGTCCTGATTAGTTTCATTAGCTTAATGGTGGCTTTTATGAACTACTCCCTCCGTTTTCTTTTAAATACTCACTTTCCTTTTTTGACGTTTTTTTAATTTACTCACAAGTCACAACTTAACTTTTAGAAATGGGGCCCACTACTGTTACTCTCACAACTAATATTTTTATGTCAATATGACACTTTACTTAATTACTACCTCCGTTACAGGTTATGTGCAACGATTTGACATAAAGCAGAGAGGGAAAATGTCTAATCGTTGCACATAACCTGTGACGGAGGTAGTACTTTTTTCCTCCCCAAACTTTAAATATGTAGTACAATTCTTGGATTTCGTGATTAGAGAAGTGTGTAAAAAAAAAAAAAAAAAAAAAAAAAAAAAAAAAAACGAGGGGGTCTATGTTATTTTTCACCCTAGCATCTCTAGCTCCCAACAAGTTGTCATGGTCTCATGGAGTTTGAAGCATGGTGTAAAAATGCGGCCATTATGTGACGATTATCAGTGGCATTTTTTGTGGCAACAGTTCTATGTAGTAGGGTGTGCTTGTCATAACTCTTCTGCTAGTCCACCCAGCACCGCTAGATTTGTTGCCGAATATCTTGGTCAGAAAAAGAATTTCCTAATGTTGTAGACCTGAACTGCTGACACTTTGCCACATATTGTATCTTTTGAGCCAATAAGGGTTTGATCACTTAAAACTCATGAGGCGTTTATCTGTGTTAAGGGCTTTGTTATTACTCAAGGTCGCTGTTCAGAGGAGGTGGTTCCTTCGTTGTGGGTAATTGGGAATCTCACTCGTTCTAAAGTAGTGTACGCTCCCCCTTAAGAGTAATAACTTAGGTGCTTGAGAATTGAGAAAAACCCATGTGGAAATTATTTTGCAGCTTAAAATCCTTGTAAAATGAAATGGATGTGTGGATATAGTGATGCATACGAGGGTGTTTGTAATTTGTATCTCACCCAATTATGAAGTTTATTTTCCAGGCCATAATATTCTTATAAACATATTATAGTGAGCATGTGCCAAGGATGGAGGATTGGGATGTGCTGATGGCCTGATTATGAAAGGATGTTTGGAGGCTCAATGCATTCGAAGGCTCTAGTCCAGCCATGAAGGCACTATAGAGATAAAATAAGAGATAGAAGTTCTGGCCTCTATTTGTATATATCCTTGGAATGGTGTTGTATAGAACTGTAGAAGACTCTAGGCGTTATAAATGTGAGTGTCACTTGTATGAGGAATGCTTGACTAGTTGAGGAGGTGGAAATCCTTTTGGAGCTCAAGTGCTTTAGAATCTCATTTATACATCCTTTAAAATTCTCCTCTTTGTTCCACTAGTCCCTTACACACAAACCATTTGTAGATGATAACTTAGCCTAGCTATGATTTTTGAGATACCAGACATGTTTGATCTTCATTCAATGTCATGTATGTATATATAAAAGTCATGAGTTCAAAACTAGTATCTCCATAGTATTATCAATGTTATGACTCAAATTAAACTAGGAAATGTTAACATGATGGAAAGGCGGGAGATTGGGAATAAGCATGCACACTAGCTACTAAGCTCAAATAAGAGAACACGGTTCAAAGATAGATAGACATGATATTATAACTCTATTGACAATAACTTAAAATGAAACAAGGTTTTTGTTTGTTTGTTTGTTTATGAAGGGAAAATGAAACAAGGATGAATATGTTGATGCTTGTAATGGATGTCTTCCTTCTTATTGGTTGATAATATTGTTTGCTATTCAATTTATGCAGATAGATGACAACGTATTAAGTATCTGCAATGAATTGGTGGAGATTGCCCGGTCTTGTTTGAGCACGAATCACAAGTACTTATTGTCAACATCTAACTTCTTTGTTGCCAATCAAATGCGTAGCGTTACAATATCCAGTAGCTGATAGTATGTATATATATCATGTAATCAGTGTTTTTGGTTTCAGTTATGTATCAAGGCAATATGGTTATATGTGATGTGTATATTACAAGTACTTTAAATAGATAGAGTAATTGTTCTAGATGCATTGATCTTACTAGTTACTACAGTCTACAGCTTGTTTGAGGTATTTGCGTAGTAACTCAAGCCTTGTTATTTCATAGCATGCCTCAACTGTGACTTATAAGTGTTTAATTGCGATTCATCTCTTGAAAGCCAAGCATTTTGAACTTCAAACCTTGGTGGTGTTGGAATTGAGAGGGGTTTCAAACTTTCAAAACTTAAATAGGATTAGATCAACAAAACAATGACAAGTTCGAATTGGTTTTTTTCTTTTTTTTTTTTTTTTTTTTTTTGTCGATAATATTTTTCGCACAGGAGTTTTCAGGTTGGATACTAGAGTCAAATAAATTTATGTTCTAAAGAAAAGAAAATAAGAAGAAATGATAGTAGATGAATAATGTGAATATTCTTCTCATGGAAAATCATGGGATAAATTGAAGATAGAACAGAGTTAATGGATCACCCAGAAATCATAAGCAGTCAAATGTCTTCAAAAAAGAAATACGTCAAGATAACAAAATTCTATAATAAAGGATTATGATTGTTAGGTCTTTTAATTACATAGAACTATAATTCATACTTTGTACTCCATATTTTTTTGTTAATTGTGTTAGGTTGTTAATTTCTCCCTCCGATAAATATAATTACGTGTTTGTAAATGGTATTCAAATCTTATAAATTAAGATAATCAAATAATTTTTTTTTTTAATTATTATTTAGAAACCCACAAAGGGATAACTAATTTGATACATAAATCATTCAAAAGCAACATCGAAAGTACGATTTGTTACCACACTCTTTAACCAAAGATTGAAAATGTGTCAATTGCTGAGTGACTTTATTCCCACTTAACTAAAGAACTTATTAATGTTGTATTCACAATATTTTACAAAGTTTTCCCATAACAACAATTGGAAGGGAACTGGAATCTAATCACACAAAAATGATTCTCAAATCCGAATTAGCTTTAAGAGTGAACCGAATGAAACACTAAAAAAGAAAGTATAAAGTACGGAGTATATACATAATGTATCCCGTACATTAATACGGAACAATCTGTTATTTGAAGAAAGAGGGCAAAGTAGCAAACCTCCACGGAAGGGTAAAGGCGTTGGGTTGGGAGGTTTCCAATCACCTTGGTCGAAAGAATCCCCAATTCTCACCAATTTAGGGTTTCTCTCTCCTCTTCCTCCTCTCTTTTCACCCCCTTTCATCAAATTCACTCTTCACCTAACTTTCTCTCTCCTCTTCAACAATGGAGGTCGAACTCGAGGTAGTCGGCCGCCATGCGATGCTCTTCGACGACGACGCCACCGCCGCCTTTGTCAACTCCAAAGATGCCCTAATTGATTGGAATTCTCTTTCAATTGATCGTTTTGATGTTCGCAATCTTCTCACAAATCCTCCCTCTTCTTTCCGCAAGCTCTCCGTTCATGGCGGCGGCGGAGGAGTGTCTCCCGATTTTCATCTCGAAGCTGAGCTCGATCTTGAACGATACGCTGATCTTCCATCTTCTTCTGATGAATTAGGTTTGTTCTTTTTCTCTTTCGCTCTTATTTCAGCTGAAATCTTTGATTTTGAATTTATTTTGTATTTGTGGTTTATCAATAAGCTAGCAATGTATTGAACTGATTTGTGCTTTGAATTGATTAAAAATTGAATAATTCTGTGTTATTTTGTTGATATTATAGTTTATTCCAGTGAATTTAGTTTTGTAGGGTGGAAAATGATGCAACTATATGGAATTAGAACTCTCAATTGTTAGTCTAAGTTAAAGTTTGTTAACTAGGTCATAATCTGGTAAATTATATAACAGCTTCATTCAGAGTGTTCATGTTGATCAGATTAGTGCTTGGAGTGTAGATAAGATAACAAGTTTGGCTGTGTAAGTCTACTATTTAGACGAGGATGTGGTTTTTGAATTCATGATAATGTTACTAACTCAAGAGAACTCATTGTGGTTAAGATCACGAAAAGGTTGTTTTTGTTCGTGTCTTTTAAGAATATTTTTCAGATGAGAGTGTGGTATTTGAAATTAAGATAATCTTCGCTTGAGAGAGCACTCACTTTGGAGAAAAATGGATTATGAAAGTGTTGCTTAAATTGTTGTATATAAGTATGATTCAGTTGAGGATGAGTTATAGAAATTAAAATAACTCTCTCTTGAGGGAGCACTCATTGCAAGCCAGATCATGGTTATGTTGCTCATTTTAATGTATAAGTGCACAGAATGCGTTCACAATATATGAAGGATTTCTTCTCAAGAAATGGCAAAATTGGCAAAAAATAATTCGCTTGTTTTTGCTCCAATATGTGAGCTAGTACCATATTGATTTTTTTTTTTGTAAAATAGTAACTTGAATATATTTTTATATTAAATAACAGTACCTCAGTACCTTGAATTAAAAAATTTTAAATATTAAAAACAGTATCTTAATGCCATTTTGTGGCCAATATGTCAAGTTTCCGGCTATTGACTTCTGTTTCCTCACCAATATTATGCGCGTGATGTACAATTGCAAGAACTAGAATGCACCCATGCTAATGCATGAGATATAAGTATGTTGTTAAGAAAAAAAATTAGTATAAGTGGAAGTTACATAAATTGAAAGTTATATATTTTTTTTGTTAAAGGAAGTTTTTTTTTTTTTTCTCAGTATAATTTGGGATGTGGGAGTTATTTAGAGTTATTTTCTAATATATATATATATATATATATAAAGAGAATGCATGAGTTGGGGGTTTGGAGTGATGTGATGAAGTGTTGCAAAAACGACTTTTAAATTATATAAAAGATGTTTGTGGGTTTGTAAGATAAAAAAACAAGGGCAATTGAAAGGGTATTGTATCTATGGAGTAACAATAAGGGTGAGTTTGGGAGGACTTTTTTTGGAAATTAAGATGATGTAACTAGCTTTGTGGAGCATTTATCTTGTGAGCTCCCAGCTACTAAGAGCGATCACATAAATGAGTTTTTTGAATCTTTGGAGAGGGCAGCGGATATATAGGGAATTGAGTTGTTTGGCATGGAAATTAGGGAGTGTGCTAAGAAAATACTTCTACGGGCACGGGGCGCTGGATTCTGGATTTTGATACTTAGAATGAGGTCTGTCTTTGCATTTATAGGTTAACTTAAAGATGAGAAAAGTTATGGAAATCAATTTGTAATGTAACAAGTGTTAGTTACAGGTGCATGCTATGTTGCTTTGCTACATATTCCACATTTCAGGAAAGATTTCTTATCTGCAACTGGTTGATCTCTTGAAATGACAAGTAAGAATGTCCTCCGTCCTCACTCTGCTAGTAACATTGTATGTCTAATTTTCTTGGGTTCTTTCGACGCTCAGCTTCTTTTGCAAATAATCTAGATTAAATAACTAATTTGTACAAAAGACAATGTTGGTAACTGCATTTTGGATTTGTTTTGCCTGTTAGAAATAGAAAATGAAGCGGCGAAGACGGATGCTTCTGGATATCATTTTGTGCCCTTCTCCTATGAAAACTCTACTGATTCCAGTGACCAGAAAAATCTTGACGTGACAACGGACACTTCTGTGTTTCATCCTCCATTTACAGTGCCTGAAAGTTTACTACAAAATCTGGTAAGCTGATCCCTTTTCAGTTATACATCTTACACATGGCTTCTCTAAGTGTTTTAAGAAGTTGATGATTTTTTTTCCTCTTTGGATAAATAGCTGATGTAAACAAATGGTATTTGTCTGATGTGCATATGTTATTCTGAGGCTTACTATGTCTAAGTTTTCAGATGCTTGGAGCAGGTGGACTTCTTCTGACCTAAAGTTGCCATTCAGGGGCACATTGTTCCCTTTTGATGTGATGACAGATGGGCCATGCAGGTGGGATTAGGATGATGAAGTTAATTACTTTACCTGGAAATTCACATCATCATAGTCGCGTGGAGCATATGGAATGAAATGTTTCCTCATAGAATTTTGATATTTTATCGTTTAAGATTATCAAGCTCTATGTGAGATGCTACTTATCAAGTTCCCTTGGCTTTTATTATTCTTGGTTCTCTACAAGATTTTAGATAAATTTAACATGTGAGAATTTCTTCTCTTTATTAATGCATGTTTTTGTTTTCCTCTGATTCTTTTCAGCCTCCTACGGATAAAGTGCATCATATTATTGCAAGGACTGCTTTGTTTGTTGGAGAAAATGGTGGCCAGTCTGAAATTGTTTTAAGAGTAAAACAGGGAGATAACCCAACATTTGGATTTTTGATGCCTCACCATCATCTACACCCATACTTCAGATATCTCGTTGATCACCCAGAGCTTCTGAAAGCTGACCGTGATAGCAAGTCGCAGAGAGAGAACACAAATGAGGATCAAACTATTGGAGCACTTTCTCTCCTGGGTTCATTCTATGGTACAGGAGAAGATGAGGATGTTGCAGCTGTGCCTAATCAAGAATCTGATCAGGTTGACTCTGATGAGACTACAGCAGTAGCTTTGATGTCCAAGTCTCATGCAGTAGAAAAAATTACTGGTTCTGAAAGCGAGTCTGGAAAGGACGAGATTGTTTCTAAAGTTGCACATCCTTCTAAAGTGAAAGTGCCTTCATCGAGTAAAAATCGTAGTAGTAGCATTAAGTCTGTAAAAGCGAATGCCGTAAATAAAGACTCCGGCACTTTAGCTTCTGCTGGTTCCATCATGGACAAGTCAAAAACTTCAAGTTTGTTTCCAGTTTCTGAAGTTGAAACGCTGCTTGTAGACCCTCCAACAGAAGTTAAAAGGTTGGTTGATCGAATAGTTGAGATCATCTTGAAGAATGGTAGGGACTTTGAGGCAGTGCTTATAGAGCAGGACAAAAAGCATGGCAGGTTTCCATTCTTGGTGCCATCCAACCAGTATCACCCGTATTATCTAAAGGTTCTGAAGAAAGTTCAAGAGGTTTGTCTCTAAATAGTTTATGCTGTATTTTCTTAGTCATATGGTCGTGTATTAATTTTTATTAAAAATGGGCACATATGTAAGTCATGGCCAGTTTACTTTGGATGAGCCTGTTGGGACAATGGGCATTGGGAGATTTATAAATAACTACATGTTTCAAACCAGTAAATTATTGAAAGGTATGTTTTGATAGCGGTGGATTATGTTGAATTTGCTTGATGTTGAGGCCTATTTAATGTGAAATGGGATGCTTGTACCTCATACTTCCTTTTTGTTTTTGTTTGTTTTAATTTTTTTTTATTTATGCGAAGTCAGCCTGATACGTTAGTCATATGTAGATCTCTGTTTCTTTGGTTATTCAATTTTAGGATACCTATTTAAAAAAGCAAACTGAATCTTATAAAACTCTGTTTCTTTGGGTTATTCAAAAATTGTCACACATTACTCCATGAAAACTCTCTTATAAAGAATGTTGTTTAGTACTCAATTGTTTAGTAGTTCTGAGCTATGTCTATTTATCATTCCAGCTTTCCTTATCAGTACAGCTTTAGCTTGTGAGTCAATTTAATTTATTCCTCCTGCTTTGCTTTCAAGATTCAACTTGTTAGAATGTAGCTTTATAAAGCATATTGGTGTGAGACAAAGTCCTTCAATTTCACTGTTGCATCATGATACAGCTTATTGTTCACGCTTCATCGTATTTGGACAGGAAATAAACTGCTGTATATGGTTTCATTTTTCTCTTTTTTATTTTTGGAATCCTGATTTTTCTTTCCTTCATCATTTCTTACAGTCCAGATTAAGTGGTAAGAGTTTTAACTCTGAGACAGAAAAGAACACTGCTTCCAGGAAGGACAGTCATATCTCATCATCCGTGGGATGTGGATCTGATGATTCAGCGCTTGACTGTGACAAGAAAGAAAAGTTCAAAATGGTAATTAGCAAATCAAAAAAAGATGCACATGATCATCCATCCAAAGAGACTCAGCAGCACTCAGGAATTACCGTGGATGCAGCAGCAGCTGCAGCTATACTTCAGGCTGCCACTAGAGGCATTAAGAAACCTAATTTGGATATATTCTCCAAAACATCTTTGAGTGGTGTAAGTCGTGGTTCCAGCAATGAGGGTGGGCAGGCATCAAGTTTTGGAAGCCTTCAGTCTTCACAAAATCAAAGTTCAGGCCAAAAGTTTATTGAAAATCAGAAGTCCAATGTTACAATTCCTGTTGCTAAAGAAATTGCCAATACTGCTGCTCGTGCAGCAGCTGGTGAGGCGGACTCATCTGAAGCTGGGATGACCAAGGAGCAGAAGTTAAAGGCTGAAAGATTGAGACGAGCAAAGATGTTTGCAGCAATGATAAAGAGTGGTGTTGCACCATTGGGTACAGAGCCCCAGGAGGCTTCATCTGTAAAACCATCCAGCTCCGATTTCCCTGGCTCTGCCACTGAGGTAGCCAATGGAGAAGTCAAAGATAGAGAAGGAAGCTGTGTTCCAGGAGAGGCTGAGACTTCAAAAAGGATTGAGATGCCAGTAAGGAATTCGTCTGACGATGAAATTGGAAGGAAAGCAAGAAAAAGCCGTCATTATAGGTCTCGAATACATGATGGCAGTGAAGGAGAAGAAGATGAGTACTTGGGGAAGAGTGGGAATGATGAAGAATATGATGATCCAAGGCATTCTAGGAAGAAGCATAGGTCACATAATTCCTCGAGGCATCATAGAGATAGAAGCAAGGATACTCACAAACATCGAAAAAAGCATTCATTGTCAAGAAACAGAAAATCTCAACATAGACACAACCATGATCGCGCTTCTTCTCCCTATGAGGATGACAGACATAACAGATATAAGTATGATAGCTCTTCTGATTATGAACAAAAGGGCCATAAGCGTAAGCACAAGCATGATAGCTCTTCTGATGATGAACACAAGCGCCATAAGCGAAAGTACAAGCATGATAGCTCTTCTGATGAAGATGAGCACAGACACCGGAAGCAAAAGCATGATAGCTCTTCTGATGAAGATGAGCACAGACACAGGAAGCACAAGCATGATAACTCTTCTGATGAAGACAAGCACAGACACCATAAACGTAAGCCAAAACACTACAGGAAAGAAGAATACACACATAAAAGAAAATCTAGGAAGGGTGAGAGAAAATCCCTAAGGGAGGAAATTGAATTGGAAGAAGGTGAGATAAGAACCAAATCTTCAGATCAGTCTTCGTCAGCTATAGGTGATGATGTTAGTGCAGAAGCCTCAGTTGATGTTTCAAAGATATCTTACCAAGATAAGGCTCCATCTTTACCTCCTGAAACAACAGAAGTTCCTGATGAGCTAAGAGCCAAAATTCGGGCAATGTTGCTTGCAACAATGTAACTTCTTTTTGTATTCAATTTCTGTACCATATAACCTATTTTTCTGACATTTCTGGTTTTACCATTCCACAATGAAAGATCGTTCTTTCTCAACTTAAATCTGTACCATTTTTTTCTCCTTTTATCAGTAGATTACACTCTTTCTATTGATTATACTGCAAAATTCATGAGTAAGATCGGCCGTAGGGTGTAAAAGTTATGATATTAGATCGAGAAAAAAAAAATATATGATACTTGATCTCGAGGAGTTGCCACAACGTGGCTAGTTTTACCGAGTTCATATACTGTACACCTACAGTGACCAGGTCACAGATATGTACCTAAAATAAATCATTATGTGATTGTTGATATCTATATCATTAGTCACCGGTAGTTAATTGAAAATTGAATTCAGGACAATCCGACATATCTATATTTTTCTAAACAAAATTTCTTTTTTGTAATCATCACCACAGTCTAGATTGAGTGATGATATATCACGATATAAGCATGAGAACTCATCCTTTGACTGCAATGAAGAAGGTTCTCTTTATAATGTGCATACCTTTCTTGACCCCCCCCCCCCCCCAAAAAAAAAAAAAAAAAAAAAAAAAAAAAAATTAGAAATAAATAGAGCATGCATGTTTCAAGGGTTATCCCTTGATTTCTCTTTGAAAAAAAAATCCACGCACATTGATTGCGGCATGAGCTAGCCGACTTTTTTTAAGGATTTTCTTTTACTATCTAGCGTACCACACCCCTTTGTAACATTGTATACATTGCATGCATGCTTATTTGTCCTCATCAATAATGAAATGGATAGCATTTTTATGCATGCACACACTCCGGTTAAATGGTTAGCATGTTAGACAATACATAAATATTCTTGTGTCATAAACAACGATTCTTGTAAAAGTCAACCTTTTCTACTACCTCCGTTTCATATTAATTTGCAACGATTTGACATAAAATAAAGAGAATTAATGTCTAATCGTTGCAAATAATATGAAACGGAAGTAGTAGAATAGTTTTTCAAAAAGAAACAAAAAAAATATCTGGAATTTACTTTTAATAGCCATAAAGTATTAATTAATTAGACAAAAATATGTTTAAAGAAGAATGAGCAATATAGATAGAAATGAGGTCACACTGAATACGAGTTAGGAAATTATATTGTTTATATGGGTTGAATAGGAGTAAAGCGGAAAAATTTGGGTCAAATGACCCTCACGTGACATGGTCAACGTTGGGAAATAAAAGTCAACTATGTCATTTCGGTGGAAGGTAGTCAATTACAACATTTTATACTTTATAAGGTAGTTAATTACAACATTTTGTTTTTAGGGTATTTTTTTGTAAAATCTGGAGTTTAGAAGGTAGATTTTCAAAAAAAAGAAAAAAAAATTCAAAATTATATACGTGACTCTATTTTTCAAACACAAAGAATATTAGTTTAATTATATCATGAATTTTTGTTTTTTTACCTAACTAAAAAAAATCAAGCTAGCTTCATCAAGTCAATGAATTGTGCACAAGTTTAATCTCACGAGTCTTACAAAATACCAAAAAGCCTAATTTTGTTGCACAGAATCTTGTTTTAAAGTTATAGGTAAGCCAGTCAATCTTCTTTGAGAATAGATTGTAGACTTTGGAAGAAAGATGTAACTTGAAAATACATAAATAATAATTTAAAAATCCTCCAAAAGACAGCGAACTCTATAATTTTGGGATTTGTTAAACATCGCCCGCGTTTTTCTACATAAAGCCCACATTTTTTAAAAATGTTGACATTATTGCCCTTGTTTTAATTTTTACCGAAAATAAAATTTTTCACTCATAAAAAATGTGGAGCAGGACTGGATCGCCGAGTGAAACCGAAGAGCCCTCAACGTCGGGTAGATGCACCGGAGAGACGCCGTTGACGCCGGAAAAGGAGGTACGAAGCCATCTAAAACCACGAATTGGCGGCTGGCGTCCTGCCGGGACGCCGTGACCGTAGTGGTGGCGCCTAGCCAGGACGCCGCCACCGTGGCTCTGGCGCCTGGCCAGGACGCCGCCACCGGTGGCGGCGTCCTGGCTAGACGCCACCGCCACGGTGGCGGCGTCCTGGCTAGGCGCCACCACTATTTTTTTTTTTTTTTTTAATTTAATTTAAAATTTGTTTATTTTTTTTTTTTTGTGTTACAATTTTTTTCTTTTTTTTTTGGTTTTTTTTTTGTTTTTTTTTTAATTGTTTTAATTTGTTTTTGTTTTTAATTTATTTATTTTTTATTATTTTTTTTACAATTTTTTTCGTTTTATGTTTTTTTTTTGTTTTTATTTTTTTGGTTTATTTTTATTTATTTAATCTAAAGTTTTGTTTATGTTTTTTATTTTTGTGTTTTGTTTTTTTTTTTTTTTGAATACTTTTTGTTTATTTCTTTGTTTGTTGTTTATAATTTATTATTGTTTTTGCTTTTGTGCTAATGTTGTGTCAAATGTATTAATTTAATCTACTCTTATGTGATTATATTTAGTTTTCGTATGCCCACTAATTACAACTTAAAATAAAAGTTATAAAAACTAAAAATATAATGTCAAATTCTAAGAACTTAAAATAATAATTATAAGAACAGATAATGTTAACTTTTACAAACAACTAGGAAAATGTTTTATAAATGCACTGCCGACATATCAATAATCTCTCTGTGACGCCCACTGCCACTGCTCAAGGGCCCGTTCCAGTTCATCAATAACAGCTCTGCCTGTTGCAGTCGTCATGTTGTCCCTCTCCTCAAAAAGTCTGTGTCCCAACTGCGTCATCTTTCCCATCCACTACACATAACAAAACACATAAAATTCAATAACGACGTATTATGAGACGTATTATATGAAAAAAAACACAACTACAAATGTTTTATGAGACGTACCGCATCCACGGCAGTGGGCGGTGGCACATCATCATCATCGGCGTCGTCGCCGTGGTGGACGTCTCTGATCAACCTCGGGTGCGAGTGCCGGTTGTACCACTCCATGTAGTGCTGGTCACACATGGCAGCCACCCCAGTTGGCGGCCGCTGCAACTGCTCAATCCATATGCGGGCAACCATCGGAAACTGCTCCCACGTGCCAATCATGCTTGCCGGCCATTGGACGACGTACTCCTTCAACGACGCAGATCGGACGGCCTTACTGGGCCATGCTGGTGGAGGAGGAACAACTTGGACATATCCAAGCTGGCGAAGACAGCGCTGCGGCATGTACGCCTCTACGATCTCACGATACTGAATCAGTCCCGTGTAGAGGGTCCTGGGTACCCTATTACTAGGGTTCTGGCCGAAAGGCATCCAGTTCACCTGCACATTTTTTAAAATTAGTAAGATTCATACAATAAACACATCAAACTATAAAAGTAGAAATAATTTAAACACTTTACCTCTAATGGGGACATCCTGTCAAGCAATAACCGTATCGATCGCAGGCGGTCAATGGACTTCTTCTCGACACGCGGACTCCACGCACAGGCACGTGGCTGGCCATCCCCAATAGGAACCGGGTCGCGGTGTGGTCGAAACGCCGGGAAATACTCGTATATCCACGTCTGTAACAACGTCATACATCCAGTGATACCTGCCGCATCAGCCCGGCTCGAGAATCCTAACTGGCGATACATGTACGCTAATGTAGCCGACCCCCAAGAAAACTGGCCTACTCTGTCGGGCTCACACGCGTCAACTATGTCGCGTGGCCTGAGCTTGTTTCCGCTCTTATCCGGAAACAAGGTACACCCGAGAAGAAGAAAAACATATGCAGCCAGCTGTGTGTCCTGCGTCCTACGTGAAGTGGGGTGCAAACATCGCTGCAAAACTGCTGCGATCTTAACACCGCCGTGATCCCACACACCAAGTGCCGCTGTGTACAGCGCAGCCCTATCCACCGCCAACAGCTCCGCCAATAAATCTGCCTGATCCGCATCTGTGACAACAGATGCTCGGTTTCCCTCTACGGGAATCCCAAGGATGGCCTCGACGTCATGCAACATGATCGTCATCTCACCGAACGGAAGGTGGAAAGAGTTCGTGTCCGGCTGCCATCGCTCAACGAAAGCCGTGATCAGCGTCGAGTCAATCCTCTCATGCATGGTGGCAGGAAGGTGGCTCACTCTAGTGGCCCTCAATCGGCCGACCATCTCGCTCTCCTCCGGCCAAGCCTCAGCCCAACTACACAAGAAGTTACAAGTCCTCTCCCGGGTTTGGCATTTCAAAATGCCGCTATCCAAAGCCCGCTCTTGGTCCTCCCAAATACGGGTAGCGATGTGTCCTAGAAAGCTAGGAATCACACTCCCGTCTATAGGTCCCCCAGCCACCTCGCCCCTCACCACCCAAGAATCATTAACGGCCCTCGACCGTTTTCTGCTAACCGCAGACACAGTGGACGCAGATGATGTGCCAGATCTACTAACAAATCTACCATCTCTACCCTTACGCACGTCTACCCTACGCGTCTCATACACATCATCAAGCCTCTGACTGAATGGACCGTAATCATCATATGGTCCACTCTGATCGTCCACATCCTCATCTGCATCCTCCTCCTCCTCCTCCTCATCACCATCATCATCTTCATCATCCTCAGAATAGTGCACCCGTTCTCTACGAGCCGAGGCCGAAATACCACGGGATCTAACGTGTCTGGGCCCCGAGCTCTCCATTGAGTTCATCATACTTCTCATAATGTCCATACTCTTCCCAGCCCCAGAACGAAAATACGATGCCTAACACAAAATAACAAAACATGTAATATGCAATATAAACATGTAATATAAACATAAAAAAAGTAATTAAAATAAATAAATAAAACAATATACATATGATGGAAAATAAATTAAAAACATTACAAAATATTAACAACCTAAAAATAAAAAAATTAATAACCTAATAAATAAATAAATAAAAAATTGGAAAAAACAAAGCAAAAAAAAAAATTACCCAAAAAAAACAAATTGGAAAAAACAAAGTGAAAAATATAAAATTATAAAAACTTAAAAAAAGAAGAACATCAAAATTTTAAAAAAAATTTATAACAAAAAAAAGGGAACATAAAATTTTTTTTAAGTAAAAAAACTAATTCAAAAAAAAAAAAACAAGAACAATAAACAAGAACATAAAATTAAAAATTAAAAAAAAAAAAAAAGAGGAACATAAAATTTTTTAAAAAAAAACCAACAAAATTTAAAACAAAATAAAAAAAAAATCAGAAACATAAAATTTAAAATTAAAAAAAAGAAAAACAAATTTAAAAAAAAATCAAAAAAAAAATAATTATTTTCGAAAATTAAATTTCAAATTTAAAACCAAAAAAAAATTAAAAAAAATAAATAAAAAGGCGGCGGCGCCTAGGCCAGACGCCGGTGCCGTGGTTCTGGCGCCTGGGCCAGACGCCACCGCCACCGTCACGGCGTCTGGCCTAGGCGCCGCCGCCGTGGTAGTGGCGTCTGGGCTAGACGCCGCCGCCGTGGTGGTGGCGTCTGGCCTAGGCGCCGCCACCGCCTCCGACCTTTTTTTTTTAATTTTTAAACACAAAATTAATAAAAAATACCTTCTCGCCGGAAAACCGCTGTCCACCCGCCGCCTGTGCCGCCACTTCCTTGCCGGGCCGCCTCGACATCGCTCGGAAAGTTTTTTAGAGAGAGAAAGTGGAAGTAGAGAATTGAGAGAAGAAATTGTGTTTTTTTACTTTGAGGGCAAAAGTGACAATTCACTCTAATTTTGTGGGCTTTATGTGGAGATTCGCGGGCGATGTTTAGCAATTCAGATAATTTTTAGAGAATTAGCTTGTCTAACATGCGTCATCATTCATGCATGCAAGCAAATTAAAATAGATATATGATGAATAGTATGTTTTTGCATGCCGGGCGGCTTACAATTTAACGAATTTTCCTCAAAAGAAAATTAAAAATAAATTTAACGAATTTTCCCCTTTTTTTATAAAAAAAAAATAAATAAATAAAAGAATTGTCAAAAAGTCTAGTATGATTTATGAAGCATGAGCCAGGTAAGTTAATCATGTGACTATGTGAGTCGAGACTCACGACTAGTCGTCCCATTGCACATTGAAGATTAGAGAGACTAACATAGATATATAGGGTATACTGCTACTTAATCTATCACCAATTGATTTTAAATTATTAAAATCTTGTTAGCTTATTATATGTCACTACTACAAAATTGGCCAAAGAGATCAAAAATAATCAGCTCCGTTCCTAGAAATTTATGGGCCCTAGGCATAATGTAAGAAAAGGGCCCCTTACGTAAACAAATTTTTTTACACGCAATAGCTTTAAATATAAGACAATGAAAATAACTTAAATTATTTGAATAATAAGTCTCCATACACAATACTGGAGTAATAACTTTGCATAATATTTCGGTAATTGAATAAATATGAAACGATGTAATTGAAAAAATTAATATTTTGAAACAGATACTCATAAAATCGAAAGATTAGAAGAAGAAGAAGAAGAAGAGGTTATATTGCATAATTATCTCCACCTAATTGACATCTAAGTAATTTAATATTAATTGCTAACTAAATGCATTTATTATCTTTTTTAAAAGTAGCTTATTTTGTAACGAGTAGAAACTACAGTTTAGACAGTTTAAATTCTACAGCTATGCAAATTGATTTTTTTTTTGAATTTTTGAGCCCCTTTCTGGCATGGACCCTAGGCGGTCGCACTCGAGGCCTACCCCTCCGGGCCGGCCCTGAAAATAATAGACCTGTTTACTACATAAGCGGTCTCTTTGTTCCAAGAGACCATTTACCATTAAAAACCGGTCTCAAAACAAATTCAAAAGACCAGTTTTTAAAGATAACCGGTCTCTTGGGGTATTTTAGAATATTCTTACATTTTAATTAAAATAGTTTGAGACCAATTTTTTTACAAAATCGGTCTCTAGGTGATTTTTTTTTTTTTTTTTTTCAAATTAAAAATTGGCAGAGACTAGTGGAAAGTAATAACCGGTCTCTGCTTTTCCTAATTCTAAACCACCAAAATCCCTAAAATAATTTAATTTCACTTTCTCTGCTCCAAATTTTTTCTTTTCCCTTAGCTTACTCTACCTACGTAATGTCGATCAAACTCCTTCCCTTAGCTTGACACCGTGCTAAGCTACCTCCTTCTCCACTTGTCGGCGTACCTCCGTCCACCTCCACCTAAAGGCTGCCGACGCGACTACACTCAAATTCCGTTTCTTGACTGCACTCAACTAATAATTGCATAATTGCATTCAATTCACTCCATTGTTACACCACCGTTCCATTGTAATCAAACTCCATCGTTCGCACTCCATCTTCCGGCGCACGGTAGCAACCGCAATTCCACCACTGAAGTTCGATTTTTCATTCAATTTTTGGAGCTTGAGAATTCTGCAATTGTAGGATTAAAACCCTAACTTTGGAGAAGGCCGCTCGAGGTATTATTTATTTATTTTCTTTCAGTTTCGATTTTTCATTCAATTACTGTTGTAACTATGTATGTGGTACATATAATTCATAAAAATGAATGATTTTTGTTCATAATCTATTGTTTTATTGAGGTTGCCTTGTTTGTTTTGCTATATTATAAGAAGAATACTGTTATAAAAATGCATAATGATTCAAATTCTTTTCAGTTTTTCTATTGTATCTATTTGCATAAAATTTGTATGTTAATCGTCTTGTTATACTGGTTAGTTGATTTGGCTTAGAGAGCTTTGTTTAAGATATGAGCAGTTATATATAGTAGTTCTTAGGAATTTGATTTTCCCGCAAAAGTTCTATTTTGTACCTTTGTAAAAGGTGTATAAAATATAGTATATAAGCTAACCCCACATGTAAGGATTCCTAAAATTATTGCATGTGAAAAAATATGTGCTATAAAAAATAACAGAACATGAATGTGGAAGCTCTTCCAAATTTGATGTTCATGCTGCTCACATTCAAAAATAAATAGTAAATGACTAGTGGTCCATGTTTCTACTCTTTACTTTGTATAGTATATTGTTTGTGCTTAAAAAATGAATAGAAAAATGGAAGAGCTTATTGCTATTGTTTAATGAATATGATATTTGTTTTTTTTACACAATATTAATATACTCTTGCAATTATTTTTTAAATACATATATATATATTTTTTTTTTATAGATTTTGTAAATCTTGTGGTTATATTCCAAATTTCCTTTATATAAGCTTTACTTATGTGATATTTTTAAGTTAATTTATCTCAATCTTGTTTTTCGACTTTTATACAATATTAATATACTCATGAAATTATTGTTTTATTTATATATATTGCTTTTAGATGTTGTAAATCTTGTGGTTATATTCCAAATTGCCTTTATATGAGCTTTACATATGTGACAGTTTTAAGATTTGAGGTCTTGTTCTTGGTGGTTAGAAATGGATCGAAATTGGATATCAACATCGAAGCCGGGTGAACCTGAATATAAAGCAGGGGTTAAGGAATTTATTAAATTTGCAGTAGAAAACAGTGGAGGCCGCTCCAAGCTACGTTGTCCTTGTTTTATGTGCCATAATTTTTTGCATAAGAGACCCGATGAAATTCTCAATCATTTGAGTAAATGGGCATTTGATAAAACATATACCCGTTGGATCTGGCATGGAGAGTTTAGGGACATACAAGATAGTTGTAGTGGTGAGAAAAGGGATGATGTGTGCGAAGTTCATAATAATAATGAGGGTGATCGGTTGGAGGACATGTTGCATGTAGTTGAGGATCAATTTGATAACAACCCTTCCATGTTGGAGAGCTTGTTAAACGACTCTGAAAAACCATTGTACGAAGGTTGCACCAAGTACACAAGGTTATCAGCCATACTCAAATTATACAACATGAAGGCTGGTCATGGTTTGACAGACACAATTTTAATGTGTTATTGGAATTGGTGAAAGACATGCTTCCCAAAGACAATGTCCTTCCTATTGGTACATATAGGCGAAAAAGACACTAAGCTCTATGGGTTTACCTTATGAGAAAATGCATGCTTGCCCTAATGATTGTGTATTGTATCATAATCAATATGAATCGTTAGAGAGTTGCCCAATTTGTAAAGCCTCACGGTATAAGAAAGGGGATCGGAGAGTACCTGCCAAAACATTATGGTATTTTCCAATAGTACCAAGGTTTAAGAGGTTATTTTCAAAAGAAGAAGATGCAAATAAGTTAACCTGGCATTTTGATGGTCGAGTAGACGATGGAATGCTTAGACACTCGGCTGACTCTCCGCAGTGGAGGTTTATTGATGCAAAATACCCCAAATTTGTGCATGAAAAACGTAATTTACGCCTTGCATTGTCTACAGATGGTTTCAATCCATTTGGTTCCATGAGTAGTACGTATAGTACTTGGCCCGTTATGTTGGTGACCTACAATTTACCCCCATCATTATGCATGAAGAGAAGGTATATGTTCCTTTCGTTGCTAATTTCAGGGCCAAAACAGCCGGGAAATGACATTGATGTGTACTTGGCACCTCTTATTGACGATTTGATTATGCTTTGGGAAGAAGGTGTGGAAGTGTTTGATGCACATCGCAATGAGAAGTTTAATCTGAAAGCAATGCTATTTTGCAGCATTCAAGATTTTCCGGCTTATGGAAATCTTTTGGGTTATACTGTGAAAGGGGAAACAGCTTGTCCTATTGGTATGGAGGATGGCAAAGGACAGTGGTTAAAGGAATCTGGAAAGCATGTTTATCCGGTTCATCGTCAATTTTTGCCGTCTGATCATCCATATCGAAGGAGAAAAAATGCGTTTGATGGGACACAAGAATTCAAAGGGCGACCAAAAGTCATGTTAGGTGAAGAGGTCTTCGAAAAGGTGAAGGACATTGAAATTACTTTTGGAAAGAAACACAGATCCATTCTTTCTAAGAAGGGTTTCAAAAAGTGTTCATGTTTTTGGCAACTGTCCTATTGGAAATTTCACTTTGTGAGACATTCACTTGATGTTATGCATATTGAGGAGAATGTGTGTGATAGCTTGATTGGTACATTACTCAATATCCCCGGTAAGACCAAGGATGGTAAAAAATCTAGAGATGATTTGAAGCATATGGGGATTAGAGATGAATTGCATGCTGTTACGAATGAGAAAGGTCGAGCATACTTGCCTCCTGCTGCTTACACATTGTCCAGAAAAGAAAAAATCGAGTTTTGTGAAAGCTTGGCTGGAGTAAAAGTGCCCGAAGGTTATTCTTCGGATATTCGTAGCCTTGTGAACATGGAAACTTTGAAACTTGTAGGCCTTAAGTCTCATGATTTCCATGTTTTAATGCAGCACTTGTTACCTGTAGCAATTCGTTCGATTCTGCCTAAAAATGTTCGTTATGCTATTATTAGACTTTGCGGATTTTTTCATGCGATTTATAGCAAAGTGATTGATCCAAGAGAGTTGACTGCATTAGAGGATGAAATTGTTGAAATTTTGTGTCAATTAGAGATGTTTTTTCCTCCATCATTTTTTGATATCATGATCCATTTACTGATTCACTTGGTTAGAGAGATAAGATATTGTGGTCCAATTCACATGAGAAATCAATGGTGTTTTGAAAGGAAAATGAGAACCTATAAGGGATATGTGAAGAACGCTTTTCATCCTGAAGGTTGTATTGCCGAACGACTATTTTACGAAGAAGTTCTTGCTTATTCCAATGACTATGTGCTAAATGCAATACGGATAGGGCTTCCTGTATCTCGTCATAGTGGTAGAATGGATGGTGAGGGGACCATAGGTCAAAAATTACGTGACCTATCCTATGTTGATTGGCATAAGGCTCATTTATACATTCTTCATAATGAGGATGAAGTTATGCCGTATGTTGAGAAACACATGAGCTTCTTGAGGAAAAGCAACAGGAGAGAAAATGAGAAGTCATTAGCTGCTGAACATAGTAGGTCATTTATTAGTTGGTTGAAGGATTATGTAATGAAGGAGCTCATAGATTCTTCGACTCCATTTTCTGATCGACTAAAGACTTTGGCATTTGGACCCGATTTTAGTGCAACTTATTATTCTGCATATGTTATTAGCGGTTCACATTTTACACAAGGTTTCAAGATGAACTTAGTACTATGCTGAATAGTGGGGTTACTTTAGAGGCTGAAGCTATGAATTTTGCTAGTGCTAAAGACAAGAATCCTGTGTGTGGTATGATGAACTATTATGGGGTCATCGAAGAGATTTGTGAGGTGCATTACTCTAGTTTTTCGATACCTGTTTTTAAATGTCAATGGGTTGACAATAACAATGGGGTTGAACATGATAGGTTCGGGCTTACATTGGTGAATTTGAATAAAGTTGGTCACAAAGAAGATCCTTTCATACTAGCAAGTCAGGCAAGACAAGTCTTTTATATGACCGACCCATCGAACAAGAGAATGTCAGCAGTTATAGCACCAAAGCCCCGACATATTTTTGATGATTATGGTGAAGATAGTGTGTTGGATGATGGTTATGTTAGGAGAAAGGAGCAAGTACACATTGAGGTTGATGTTACAGATGATATTTCAATATATGTTAGAGATGACCACAATGAAGGCATGTGGGTTGACAAAGAAAAAAAGGGGGAAAAGCGAAAGCGTGGACATAATAAGTCCTTATGTATTTGAGGTGTGTTTCACTTACTAGGTGGTAACATTAATTTTCAAGTCTTACTTTGTTTGTGCAACTTGATTTATAAATGTTTCCTTGTCAAAATCATTTCTCATTGCCATCTCTATATTAATGTTTAATTCACGTTATGGTTTTTATAGCATTTTATTTAGTTTTACTAACCAAATTGTTTTTTTCTTTTTATCTTTTCAATAGTTGATGGCTCGGAAAAGAAAGCGAGTGCGTGAAACCGAAAATTCTGACAACAACGAATGCGAGGAAGAAAGAGGTCGCACGGTGCTTAGAATGGTTGGGAAAGCTATCCAGGCTGGCTCCAAAATCCCTTTACAATGGCATCCAACCAAAAGAATCCCTATTGGGAGTCATAGAAGTCATTTTTCCACCTATATTGGTGTAGTTGTGCGTGAAAGAGTAAGTATCACCTATAACAAGTGGTTAGATGTTCCACAAGCAGTCCTAGATCATTTGTATGACAATATCTCGGTAAGTAAACTGAGTTCATATGTTACATAATAAAAAAAAAAGTTTAGGGTTATATATATGTATGTCTAACATATGACATTATATGAATGTAGAGGGGGTTTGATGTCCTTGAAGGTCGCAAAAGATGGATACTAAATCGAGCTTCTGATCGATGGAGAGCTTTCAAGACTAGACTAAGACTTAGGTGGTTGTATCTCAAAGATGGATCAATTAACAGTACACCACCTTTGAAATATCCTTTTATAACTCCGGATGATTGGGGGGCATTCATCACAGCTTGTAGTTCTAATGACTTCAAGGTGTCAGTTCATCATTATGGCATTACCTTTTTTTTTTTTTTTTTTTGTATGCCTTTATAAATTTAATGTTTGTGTAAAATAACTTTGAATGTGTACTTAATTGCAGAAATTGAGTGAAAGTAATCGTGAAAGGTCTAAAAAGAAGACCTCAAAATATCGAGGTGGGAGACTTGGCTATCAATATTTTGAAGAAGAAATTGTAAGTATATGATGCTACTGTCCTAATAAACTGAGTTCATATTCTACTGTCCTGTACGTCTGCTACTCTCCTGTTCTTTTTTTTATTATTATTATGCTACTGTCCTGTTCTTTTATTTTTATTATGCTACTGTCCTAGTAAACTGAGTTCATATGCTACTGTCCTGTTCTTCTACCACAATTAGCCGTTGTTTGTGTTGGTGTTGAGGGGTTGTCCTGCTGCTGTTGTGTTTTGTTTTTGCCTCCTGCTGTACACGAAAATGATTGGGGGTGGGTGCATTGCACTAAGTGATTTGTACCATAAGTGATTTGTTTGTGTTTTGTTTTTGCCTCCTGCTGTGCACGAAAGTGATTGCTGTTGTGTGTTTTGTCCTGCTGCACTAAGTGTTTTGTTTGTGTTTTGTTTTTGGTCTTCATTTCACTGTAAAGAGGTGTAACTACTAAAGATTAAAGAGCCAAAGCATACTAGGTGGAGTAGTGGTAGACTAACACTGTTGGTGATACTGTAGGGATATTGCTCAACAAATGCAATCTTGAGATGAGTTGGCATTCCACTTAAAAAAAGTCAGCTTAAAAATTATTCTTTTTGTTGCTTTAGCTTGGTGGAAACAGAATACTTATTATGTTAGATATAAGAAGAGAACAATCTAACTAGAAAGATTGTTTGAATGCCTTCGAGGTTGGTATAATGTATGGATCAAATATTGTTGCGGTGTAGATACAGTTGTTGCATGTAAATTGGCTGCTGCTTTCATCCGAAATGATGAAATGTATGTATGATTTTACATAACGTGTTCTGAAAGAAAGCGCAAGCTTTTTTTTCTTGAGTTTTTGCATATTATGCGTGATTTGATTGCAGTTTCTTGCTTGACCAAATATATCATGTCGCTGCTGCTTGCTTTACTTTGGCAGCTGTTTGTTTCCTTGTGGTAAAGATGCAAACATTAGCTTGTTCCCTAATAGCTTATTGAATATTATAGTACATGAGCCATTTTTTGAATGATTAGAACCTTAACCTCGAATTGATTCTGCTCTGCTGGTTTCCTGGCATCTGCTTGGGACTAGAGCAGCTTGTAAGCATGTTATAGCTTTGAGTGATTACTGGTTCATAGTAAGCAAAGTTGGTGTGTTTCAGAGGCTAAAACAGCTGCTTAATCATATATTTATAACTGGATAATGAACCTGGTAGATGTTCACACCACTGGACTCTGATACAAACTAAAAAATCTAGATGAGGGGAGGGGTGTCAGAATTATTGAATGTTTAAGGAATTCTTGTAATTATAGTGGAGTAAAAAACTCTGTTCTTGTTGAGTTGATAGTATCATCTGTCACACTCAGATTTAATTGGTTTGTTAATGTTTTCTATCTACTAAAGCATAGATAAAATTTACAGTTCTAGTTACTAGTCTTACCATCAAAAGCTGAGATGGATGATGACCACATGACCTGATTCAGGAGAATGAAAATTTGTCCTCTAAGGTTAGAAGATGGGATAAATGTTGAGTGCTGAAAAGTAGCTACATTTTCAGTTTTGTAGATTAATTGATGTGCTCCATGGCTTCTACCTCCCCAACTTTTACTCCCTCTTCCTCATCTGAACTCCCAGCAGCCACCCCATCACTCTACCTAATACTAATTTTCGCTGCCCTAACAGAAACCATGACCCCCACACATATTTAAGCACCACCCACAAACACCCCACACATATTTAAGCACCACCCACAAACACCAAGAAAAAATGAAAATTTAGCAGAAGAAAAAGAAGGAAAATACCTCAATTGGATTAAATTTCCAAACTGAGAGGCCCAACTTTAAACGGTTTTAAATATGAATGACAATGGAGTAATAATTATTACTTGTTTTCTGTTAGCTTGTCCAAATGTGATCTAAGTCATGGACTAGCCATTGCTGATTGGTTGGAAAAATATCCTTAGAGCCAAGAACGCATAGTATCTTTAATTAAATTTCAGTTATTACAACTTATTGTAATATTGTTTTTGTTGTTGTTGTTGTTGTTGTTTAGTGATTAAAAAAAGTAAGAACAAATCTGTAATCTGATTTCCTAGTTCTTGTAGTATTGAAATGACTTCTCTGACACTATTGGCTAAAGTCGTAGTTATACTGATTTTAGTGTGCTAATATCATTATATTGTTTGCAGGTTCTGATCTAGTTTATGACAGTACCTTTTTCAAAGTAGTTTAATTTATGATTTTGTATTTTCACAATGTAGGAGAAAGATCTTGAAAAGCAAGGAATACATGTCTCAAACGTGCCTCGACATTTGACTTGGATTAAAGCTCATTCTTACGTCAAGAATGGAGTTCTGACCGTTGACAATCCTGTTGATAAATAAATCCATGATGCAATAGTAAGTTGGCAACAATCTGATGCAATTTCTTGGTGTTTTGGTAAACACCTGCATGTAATATAATTTCCTTTTCGGTTAAAAATAGACACTAACCCTTTATGATCTTGGCCTCGTTTTACAGATTAGATTGGAGGCCCAAGTACAAAAAGGTGAAATAGTTGCTACAGGTCGAGATGATATATTGTCAAGAGCTTTAAACAAACCAGAGCATGGAGGTTCTGTTAGGGCTGTTGGATCAAGAATAACTAACAAGGAGTACTTTGGATACAACAAACCAACCGCACCTAGCGAATTACATGCTAGAATGAATGTGATGAACTCAAGGATGGCAACAATGAGCAAGCAGCAAAACTTTATAATTTCCTTCATGATTTCATGTTTAACCCAAGAGCAATTAGGAGCATTCATGGATGGTGGTTCTCAGCAAGGTGTTTTTGGTGGCGATCTAGCAAATTCAGGAGGGCTGCTTGGTGGGGAGGCAGCAGGTTCGGGTGGTTTCCTTGGTGCTTTTGGGAACCATTTTGGTTCTGGTGACATGAGTGGTTCTAGTAGCCAAGGGGCAGCTGGAAATGGGTTGGATGCTGCTCATTTAGACAACTCATTTGGAAATGGTGTCCTTCTTACACAACTCTTGATGGGAGTTATGGAAAGGCATGACGTTGAAGGGCATCACTTTGGACAAGATTCACATGTGGATAAATCTCACAAACAAGCCTATACTGAGCAAAGAATTGCGACAAACTTAGAACCTCAGTACACAAAAAGCCCAATCGTGGTCCATCCTCAACTTCAGAACCTCGAGACAGCGGCAGAGGCAGAGGCATACCATGTTCCTTGGCCTGAGGTGAACCATATGAATGCAGTTGAGCATACTCCAATTCCCCCACCTCAAAGTCAAGTTGTGAATACCAACAACAACTATACATTTCCCGAGGTAATCTGCTTGAATTATGGGCTTTGTTTTCAAGTCTCATATAATGCGAAGGTCATTTAAGCGAGATTTCATGTTTGATATCTGGTTGAGCCTATTGTTTTCAGGGATGGAGTGATTGCCTCTTGGCAATTGAGGGAAGCGACAAAGAGCTACAGATTGTTGCTAACGGAAAAGTTTACATAGAAAACAACACGGAAGTTCTTGGTAATCATACCATATCGTTGTCACATGGTCATCGTCGAGTAACCATTACAGAAGATTTAATGCCTTATGCTCCCTTCCCATGTCCCAACGATGAATTGATCTTTGTTTGTCAAGCTAAGAAGGCTTTCACAGCTTGGCCAAATCATTTGATACTCCCCCTACAGGTAAAGGAGCAAATATACATTCTTTTGCTACTATGTTGTTGCTACTGCTTCTGCATTCTGCATTCTAATGAACATGTATGGTTTATTTTACACATCCTCGGTTCATGGCTTCATTGTATATGCATCCTCGATAGTACTTGTTATCTCCAAGTATAGAAACATTGATCCACACAAATTAAGAAATGCATGTGCTTGTTATCTTATGGGGAATATTCTACAAAGACACAATATCATCTGCTGGCTTTTGCTTCCTCATCATTTCTGCATTATTTGGTTTTACATTTGAATTTTTCCAGCTTATTATGAAATTAAATTACCATTTGGCCATGGGGACTAAAAGGTGGTGGATATAGAGATTTCTGAGGCCCTCTGAATAGCGTCTGTAAAATATACTTAAATGCCATAGTTAATTCAGTCCGTGTTGATAATAATGACACCAGAACCTGGAGTTTTAAGATTACACAATTTAACAATTGATCTTCCATTACATCATGTGTGAGAAACATAAATTTAACAGTGTTTATAAAAAGGAATGGATTCACATGAAGTGAACACATAGTCACACTGTTTACAACACTAGTATAACATGATAATAAATATTAGAAAAGCAGATGTAATGGACTGTTACATCAGATACAAACATGTCAGATTACAAAACGATCATCACAGCATTATAATAGCAACCCACACGCAGGCTCTTTGATCTGTACACAATATTAGAGGTAAAATTGCATCTGCCCTCATGTTAGTTCTCTGAATGAACACAGGATCAGCTGAATCCAACTTGCTATATGTGATTTTTCTTTGTTTTGTCTGGTCTTTGCATTCAGCTACTTCTTAGCTTCGAGACTCGAGATTCTTATGTGGTTTTTGTCTTCCCTTTTAGATTCATGTGCAAGCTTTCTTCTTCTAAAGCTTACATGCGTGTTGTTTTTGTGTGAAACCATATTATTAAGGCGGACAAGCAACTAGATAAGGAGTTGAATATGACCACACCATCCCCACGATCAACATCCTCCCAAGCATCAACCACTCGTACCTATGTTGTTACCGACAAGGATCGTGAGAAGGTAACATCTACTTGGATGCGTGTTATGAGAAAAAAAAGCTATGGGAATGCAAAAGAAGGGTGGTACCATCTCCATAACTATCCCGGAAAGCGTGTTTCTTAACGAAAATGGGTTGGATGTTTCACTTGACTTTGAAGACTTGCTTGATTGGTGTTTCCAAAGGGAGGTCGAAGAATCGCAAATGAAGGTCTTCATGAAGTAAGTTTCCATATAATATAGGTTCTAATTTTAATATTGTTTTTTTTTTGGCCCACTAACTAATATTCATATGACTTTTCATGGGACAAGGCACCTAAAAGAACGTTGTCAAAAAGAAGGTGTCTCAGGAATGTATGGGTTCTGTGACTGTAATGTTCTTTCACCATTGACACCGACAACGGATGAGCAAGTTCGATCTGACTACTTAGCCCATGTTTTTGGAACCAATAAGGGGAAAAATGTTAATCAATTATTCTTTGCTCCTTATAATGACAAGTTTAGTTTCTTTTTATTTTTTTTTTATAGATCTGAGTTATGTTAAATCCTCAAATTTTAATTAATCCCATTACTATGTATTTATTTTACAATATATCTAGTTTGCATTGGACGTTAGCGGGGATTAGTCCATGGAATGAGTTGGTGTATTGGTTAGATCCACTTGGAGCAGAAAACGAAATCAACTCATTTGCACAAAAAATCATCAATGAGTATGTACTACTAAAATATTCACTTGGTTAACTTCTTGTGTTTTTCTTATTGTCTAATCAAAATTAATGCAACTGTGCCATCTTGAAATGATTTTGTAGGGGAATAGTTAAATTCAGCATGAAGCATCGAAAAGATATCAAGAAAATAAAAAAGAATCCAAAAATAGGGTGGAAGCAACCACGTGTAAGTCATTATTATTTTTAGCATATTTCATACCTAGTAGTGTAAAATCAAATCCAAAACTGTGTTAATGGTTATTTTTTTGTATCAGTGTCCTCTACAATCTGCATACACAAAGCAATGTGGTTTCTTTGTATGTCGCTATATGCTGGACATTATACAGAACAGGGTATTATGGATTTCTGAGCAGGTATATTCAACATACATGTCATTTAAACTTGGTATTTTATTTATGCATGCATATGTTAACCCCTCTGTCTGCCCCCCCTCTTGCATTTCCTTTGGTATTGAAGATTACTCCCATCTTGATAATTGGATTGTGTTCATCAATTAAAATTTCACTAGGCATGATAGTCTCAAAGTTGAGAACTTGAATTGCTTGCTTTATTGATGGCCTGTGATTGTAGTCAGGATAGGCACACCACTGCCATAAAGATCAGTGGCTTAAGCTTTTGATCAGTGGCTAAATTCCATGTGATTAAGCTTTTGATCAGTGGCTAAATGAAGCTTACCATTGCCATAAAGATCCCACACCCACTGTACTAATCCCTTTCCTTGGTGTGTTCCTGCCATAAACAAGTAGGAATTCACCTTTATCATGGCACCAACCTATAAGCTGCACCAGGTTCCTACACCTTAGCCTGTTAATAATTTTAACCTTGGTACTATACTCTTTTTTCCCCTGTCTACCGCCCCTAGAGAATTTTTTCACCGCGATTAGCATATACAATTCAATAAGATAGCCCTTGTAAACGCCTCCAAATCCTCCTTCACCCAACTTTCGTTCATTAGAGAAATTTTGTGTGGCTGATTCAAGCTCAACGTATGAAAACCTTCTCTGTCCAGCACCCCTCTCGAGTTCCTCATTGAATGAGGTATCCTCTGTATATACATTCAAAATTTTAGCTTGCAGAACAGTAGAACTAGTTAAATCAGATGAAAGGAAACATAATTGAGTAGAGTTCAGAACTCTTTGTTATCAATGACCTTTCTAGCATCCATCTGCAGCTCCAAAAATATTTTCAGCTGTTTTAATTTTGGACTGAGAAATTTGTTTGTTGATAATATGCTAATAGCTATGTATTCTGGATTTAAGTAAGAAAGCAGGAAAAGTAGCTCTTTAGCTCAATTGTAAATGGATGTAATCTAATTTGTTGTTATTTCATAACTTTTATGTAATTATATATCTTTCTTTACTCATTTAGTAATGGCATATGTTGTAGATTTTTCCCAAAGATCCTTGCACATATTCTTCAGAAGAAATTGACGAGATTAGACACTTATGGATTCAATATGTTCTTGATCATGAGGAGCCGGAAGAACCTTAGTGATTGGTGATTACAACATGATACTGTTAGTCTTGATACTTGAAAAATCTCTACATTTTGTATTTTGATACATAGGCAATTAGCTATTACTGTGTACATATATTAGTACTGTGTTGGATATATATAGTTTGATGCATATATATATAGGAAATTCAAGTTTATAACAGGGATAAACTTGAGTTGTTTATCTCAGGGTATAAAAGTAATTTTCTTCCAGTAAGTAAGGGGTATTGTGGGGCAGTACTATCTGTTTAGGGTGGTTGTGGGGACACATGTAAATCTAACCATGGTTAGTTGAATTCAATTGCTCAATTCGTAATCGACTTAAATTATTTTCGGCAAACGCATTGAATGAGCTTCGAAATAGAATTGTATCAGTTCCTCTCTGCTGTTATAGATAGATGTTGGGTTTGTTCAAGCGTTGATTGAATCCGATCGCTGCGTTGTGCATTCACATGAGTATCAGCGGGCAAGTTGTCATTGATGGAGAATTGTGGTGAAAAGGTTTGCAATTCTTTGATCCTAGTACTGTTAGTTGGAAGTTTTTGATTGCGAATTGAAGGTGATGAATGCTAATTTGTAGTTATGTAATTTCTTTATTTATTTATTTGTTATATCTGTTTAATTTATTTGAAATGTAATTGTGATTTGTCTTGTTTTCTGCTTTGAGGTCAAAATACAATTGCGATTTTTTCAATGAATTTTGCTTTGTGGTTGAAATTCAATGGTGAGAGTTCAACTTCCTCTTTTCTGGAAAGGTTGAATTTGATTTCGGTTTTTAATTTTGAACAACGCTCGACCTGATGATTGTATGTGTGGGGATTGCGAATTGAAGGTGTTGGATGCTAATTTGAAGATATGTAATTTATATAGTATATCTGTTTATTTTGTTTGAAATGTAATTGTGATTTGTCTAGTTTTCTGCTTTGAGGTCAAAATACAATTGCGATTTTTTCAATGACTTGTGCTTTGTGGTTGAAATTCAATGGTGAGAGTTCAACTTCCTCTTTTCTGGAAAGGTTGAATTTGATTTTGGTTTTTAATTTTGAACAACGCTCAATCTGGTGATTGTATGTGTGGGGAATTCTGAACAACTCAATCCATTGTCTTGAAGAACGCCTTTGTTTTGTAGGCCCAGGGTTCTAAGGTGTTAGGGAATGACCATCGGTACCGAAAAGATCAATTAGTTCTGGGATTGTTCCAGGTATATGTCGTTGTGATATGATTATTTATGAATATTACGAGCTATGAATTATTTAACAAAGACAGTGGTGTGTTCCATTGTAGGATAATGAATTGTCTGTGGGTGGCAGTGTGAAAAAAAATCAGGTTGTGCTGTCTGAACGTAGGAGAAGGTGTAATCGGGTAATGTTAGTTTTCGTGTTGTTTATTTTTGAATTTGTTGTAGTTCTTTTGGCTAAATCAAATTATTTTGGTTATTTTTCCAGCCCCCTAACCTTACTTGTCGAATTGATACCTTTGGTAGAATACTTCGGAGGTTTGATCATAGGCGGTGTCGTTGGGTTAAAGAGATGGGGTTTAGTGGATTGTTGAGTGTTCCTGGTGACTTGCAACTTCTTAGGCAGATTTGTTATTGGTTGATGTCGCGCATTGATCCTGTCTCTAGGAAACTAATTGGATGTGATGGGAAAGACTTCTTTTTTTCGAAGAATCAGGAGCAATGGGTCCTTGGTATACCGAATGGTGGTCTCCCTATTCCTAGCTACAAAACTATGAATTATGTTGAGAGGGCTAAGGTTGATGAAATACTATGCAAGTATGGTAAGTCGTTACAAAGCAAATCTTCGAGGGATTGTGATCGTGTCTATTACTCTAAGAGTATCGCTGTTGATTCTAAGATTATGGATTTGGTAGAGGGTGTTTGGCTAGATGATCAGGAAGAAGAATTTAAGACTCTTTTCCTCCTATTAGCTCTTGATTTGGTGTTGTGTCCCACGCAGTCCCCTCGATTAGCAGTGGACCTGATTCCGGCCCTTACTTGTGCCATGAAATGTGCAAGCTATGATTGGTGTGGTCTTGTGATCGATTTTTTTATGGAATCGGTCTCTAGCTTTGCATGTCGCTTTTATGGTTCAGGTTATGCGGTTGGATGCGGTGGATGTTCTATATTTGTCGTGGTAGGTACTACTTGCATTACATGGTTGAGTTTGCTTATTATATATATCTCCTTGCTTAACCATATTTTTGTGTGTAGCTATTCTATTTGGATAGGTTGAACAGGAACCCTGTAGATTGGGGTGTGTCTCCTCGTATTAAGGTTTGGACTATGAAGCTAATCCGCAGTGCTTGTAGAGCTGATCGAACAACCCTGAACGGTGATTATGGGAAATTGGGGGTAAAGTGCTACATGCTTTTATGCTATCCGGTATTCTGAAGTTAGCTCCTGTATTTAGTTGTTATTGTTGGTACCATTTGGCAGATGTTAGATGTTGCGTATGGTGAGCATCACCCTAGGTGTGCCAGAGACATTGAAGCCCCTGGACCAATTGAACAGGGTGCTTGTCTGTCATCTGTTAGTGTACGAAAGAGAAGGCGAGCTACGACTGATAAAACTCCTTTTATGCGAAAGCGTGAGAAGGCAAAATCTGCGGTATTGGCAGAACTCATTCGATTGTTTAATTGAATATTTTGTCTATCTGTAACTGAAAAGATTAATTGCCTATATGTGTGCATGCATGCAGGGTGAGGTTGGTGAAAGTCTCCTTTGCGTAGGTTCTTTTTTATGCCCTCGATTCAAATCAATCGTAGGGCGGATGCGCGATATTGATGCAGTAATTGATCGTTGTGAAATCACTGTGTTCTTTCCGAACTCTTTAAAGTGGGTTGTTTTCATCACATCATCCCAGAGTGTCTTTGAGACCTTCAGCTGTGTTCAATTCACTGAGTCAGTGCGAGGCAATCATTTTGCAGTCACGGATGCATTCAATCCCTTCCGTCCCTTCCGCATTCCTCTTTAATGTGGTAATCATCGTGCTCTATTCCTTGTTTTGTATGTATTTTATTGGCACATTCCAATACACTTTTATGAGGTGATGATAGGTATTTCGTTGTTTGTTGTAGCTCGGACAATTCCCCTCTCTGGTCAGATTGCTTCAATCCTACGTATGTGGAGGCCATGGTGGGTCATATTGGACGATAAGGCAAATAAGTAGCAGCCCATTAAGACGTAAGTAACTTGTGAGGGTAATTTGATGAAATTAATTAAGACTCCATTATTGCTTGTAGTTGGTTGTTGTATTTATTTTTTCAAAAAACGTGGGTTTTGATAATGTTAAAGTAATAAGGATTTGATTTTATATTAATCTACTTCGTCAATAGGATGAGTGTATTGAAGTGGGCCTCGTATGTTGGGCTACTAAATTTATTCATACCTGTTAGAAGTTCTTAATATGCAGTATTTTGTTACTTCGTCAATAGGATGAGTGTATTCAAGTGTGGGCATAGTCCATTATGGGCCTACCCATATGGGCTACATATACGAATTTAGTTTTTTCATTAACATTAGTAGAAGACCTTTTTACATAATAAGGCCACACAGCTACTAGCCCAACATAACAAGGCCACATCTACTAGCCCAAGATAACAAGGCCACATCTACTAGCCCATAACTGTTACTACACAACTAAAAGGCCAGAACTACTAGCCCAGAATTATTACTACACAACTGCTAGCTCATATTTAAGCACACACTTTCCATGTTGTTGTATTTTGACTTTCACTAATTCTTTCGAAGCGGAAGGTTTTATTGAATGATATTATCACAAAACCACCTTGTACACCAATCCTTGATCTGCCATATATCCTATGAGTGCTAACCTTTTGACAGATAACCCGAGCCATGTGTAGTGAAACACGGGTTTCTGCCAACACAATCACATCTGGCAGTTGCATCTCCAACAATAGGAGTAGACTTGGCAAGAAACTATCACGAGCCATATCCCTACAATTCCATACAACAAATGTTGCTTTAGCGTTAGATGGTCCCGTACTTGTCTCTGCTACGTTTAAATCCAAACATATTTTTCTACCGTCCAACACATTCTTAGAAAGCCAAGTAGACTCCATCCCAATGAGTGTTAGTTGTGTACCACAGTCAGTCGTAAGCATCTTTAATGTGTTACTATAATTGTTTGTAACTAAAGAATGTTTACCTGGGTTCAAGCAACAACTTTCAATTTCATTTGGAAATTCAGAGGGAGGGTCTACCAATTCCTTGATACACCTTGGGATTAAGTGTTGCACACAAATGCCTTCCACACAGCCCTGCTCCTGAATAATTTTACGGATAACAGTCTTCATAGCGGCAGGTAAGAGAGCCAAATCAGAGAGGTCTGGCAAGTGTGCTGGGTACACTTTGTTGTTTGGCGTTATGATGACCAAGTCGTTTTGTGGATTATTTCCACTTGTAATCCAGCCGCGAACTTTGTTGGCATCAACAACCTTCTGATCCAGGGTTCCATCTGGATTTATAAGAGGGCTTCTAATTGCAGCAATAAGGCCCTTACCAAGGTTAGCAGAACCTATGACCGGATGAGATATATGTGATGTTGGCTGTAATTGGTCGGTCTTCAAGAAGATAATTTGATTTGGTCTCAATCTTTTATTGGACATCAGAGTGCTATAATTATTTAATACTTACCTCATAAGTTTCCTATTACAGGGTGAAATTGTGGATGCATGTATTTTAATTGGATATTCCTCATCTCCCATGGCTTTTTTTTTATGGAAGTTTTCAAGTGTTCTAGCTTAACTTGTATGGGTCGCAGGGTATCTTTTTATATGGGTATCTTATATATGAAAAAGGCGGGTAATATTTAACAATTTTACCGCCAAAAGTTTCAATGTCTGCCTTCTTAAGTATTTATTATCTTAACTTAGAACCGTGGCCCACTTGGAGTAAGAGAAGACAAATAAAATATATCTGAGAATGAAAATATCAAGGCAGTAAAATATATTTGAGTTTGCAATTACAAGGCATTAAACGTTTTTTTTTATCTTATTAAAAATTATAACACTTAATAAGATTACCTGTAACTATTTCTTTGACAGAAAACCAACTAGCCACATAATAGACTTGTGTAAGATTACTAACACTAAGCAGTAGATGCGTCCGAAAACAGAAGAGAGTTAGATACACTTTTATGTTGTTGTTCAGATACGTGCAACACTTCATATGGTAACCAGCCGCGGTGGCTGGGGAAAAAGCTTATAACTTGGCTGCACACAACAACAGACAATTAATAACACTGCCAAATATCTCAATTATATACAATCAAACGTGTAATTTTTTTAAACTAAGATTTTGTTTAATAAGAACTCAGACATCAGAACTATTACCAGCGCCGTTAATGATAGGAGTGTTCCGTACATAGTTGATTTCCTGTGTGTGAAATATGGCTCAACCCTGTTATCCCAAGCTAAAAATACACCGCCCAGGTCACAGTCTGCTCCGAAGCACTCAACTCTGTAATTACCAGCCATTTTTTCCTTCACTCTGTTGACCCAATTACCGGCTGTCCTAGCCTCGGTTATCATAATGATCATAGGCTTAAAACTTTTGTGTAGTCGCCTAAAATTTTCTTCAAACGAAGGTCTATGCACGCACCTAGCATTCCACATAGCTACGACAGCCCCTTTAGGAAATTTCTTCATGTTACAATATGTATCTGATATCTCCGAACTTACATTGACTTTGTAATATCGCGATTTGCCTACACCCGTTATGTGAGCGTCTACTTCCAAGGTAAGAACCGTTAAGTTGTTCTTGATCTCCATGACATGGACACCATGTTTATTTGCTTCTAAGAATATTTCCCGAGTTTGAACAGGGAATGTAAACACCGGTAACTCTTGTGGGTTTATCATAATTTTCATATCAAAGATAGGTACGAGTTCCCTAGGGATATATTCGGGTATTTCTAGGCATCGACGCGTACAGAACCATCTCATGAACACCACTGCACCCTTATGCATGTACGCCTCTGTATCGGATATGTTGGGCATGTAAGCCGGTCTTACATCGTTTGGCCCGACTCTCATAGCCTTGAATGGGAAAACATATCTTGGGCCGCCTTCATTGGAACTGCACAACGTAACGTGGAGTTTATTCACATCCATGCTGTTAGCATCATTAACGTCTATTCCGGACTCATGGTAATAATATTCAACCTCGTTGAATTTCAATTCAGCCACAGAAGTTGGATAGACTGTTTTAAAGTATGTGGTTGGTTGATTGGGGTGAAAAGAAATACGGTTTGTGTTCGTGTTAAACAACTGAATGCCAGTAATTTGGCCGTGTATAGAAGATGGGTACTTACTCATGTCCACACTTGAAGAGGGGAAAGAAAATGGTACAGCAGGAATATATAGGATTATGTAGTGGATTTAGCAGGAATATATAGGATTATGTAGTGGATTTAGCAGGAATATATAGGATTATGTAGTGGATTTAGCAGGAATATGTAGTGGATTGTAAACAAATATCGAGCAAATGTTTTAATCCAGCAAAAGTTAGGGCTGGTTTCACGTAAAGATAAAGTATGTGAAGTTCAATCAACAACTGTTGATTGCAGTGATGCTTTCAGTCCATAGACAGAATCAAATATTTGTCAACCATCATCAAGTACAATTTATATTCAAGTAGCTAATATTTTACCAAAAGTAACTAACTGGTGAGCAAATGGGTCATAGAACAAATGAAAAGTTAATATCACCGTCTCCAACCAATAACGAGTTCATATGATTTTGGATTGTAATTAATATTTCATAATATAGTATATTAATTCACTAATTTGATAGGACTTTATATCATTTGATAGCACAATTGAATATGTAATTAAAGCACTTATTTTTTTTTTTTTTTGAAATTATCTGCACACAGCCTATCAATAGATTATTGATTGACTTGTTAAGGAATTATATCATTTTAAAGTACAGTGATCACAACGCACAGGAATTAATTTGGAAATTAAAATACACAATGCATATTATTTAACAGTGTTAAACATATTACTTAACATCAACCATAATATAAAAGAGTTCAAGGAACTCTGCATACCGAGTTACCGACAACGGAATTAATTATACATAACACATTACTTAATAGTCTCATACACTAAAAACACAAATAAGATAAGTAGTTATAGGACAAACTGCATAGATTTAGTACAAGTCACTAGCCATTCATTGCCACACATCACAGTCCTCCATCCACCGCAGACTGATAACTCCTTCGCATACATCTAGCCTTTAAGCTTCCTCTACCTTAGAAGCCTCATCCTCTCCCTTAGCATTCCCTCCCTTTGGATCCTGACCAGCCTGCATATTAATAAGTTGAATATGAGTTTAATTGAACTTGGTAAATTAAATTATGATTTCATATAATTAAAATTCAAACATGAGAGAAAACTTGCCTTAATAGATGCCATGACACGGAGTGGACATGTAGGGGTTGTTGATAACATAATCTCCTTGTCAAACGAACGCTTTTCATCCCACATCACAATGGAGCCACCCATGAGACTTACACTCTCATCCATGGACCACTCTAAAGGATCTCCTAACTCAGTCATTAAATTATTGAAGTTTTTTTCGGTCACTCGGACCTCAGTAACAATGACAACAACAGGGTTGTGGATAGACAATAGCCTAGCAAAGTTATTTTCAAAATAAGGCCTTGTGACACCACGAGCATTCCACACTACAAATGTGCTACCTAATTCAAAATTAACCTCTCCTTCAGTCACTTCAGGCATTAGTTGGACCTGAGCGTATCGATCATAAACACACTCAGCCCTGCCTGTTGCGACAGATAAGTCTAGTGTTGTGAAAGGGTTGAAGAGGTAAAAAATTGCAAGCCCATCAGTGTAACAACCTAGTTCAACTTTCAGTTTTTTATCACGAAGACAATAAACAGGGCCATTAAAATCAAGGACTGGCACAGGGTCAACAATTTCACTTAAGAAGTTTGGGATTATTTTTGAAACACCTTTGTACTCGAAGTTAAAACCATGCAATTTTAAAAACACTTCATCCAGGTTAACTCTACCTACTATGTCAAACAAATTTGGTAAATGGATAGGTTTTTTGATACCTGATGGGGAAACCATGACCATGGTGGCCAGTCTCTCTTCCCATGGACTTTCTGGCGATCGAACAATGTCACGTAAGACACCATCTGTCAAACGCAGAAGCAGCCCATTCTCCTTCTCCACATAGTAATTGTACGAGTTAAAATCAATCTCAGTGGTGGTGTTCCAGTTAGGCTCCCAAAAAGTCATTTCGTCGGTGGTATTGGCGAGGTAGCAGCCAGAGGGGAAAGTTGGGTTGTTAGGATCGAAACAGGCCATGCTTAATTAAGCTGAGTTTGTTTGAATTTTTTTTTTTTTATTTAATGGACAGCTTAAGGCTTTAGTTCAGGAGGACGAAATGTGAGTCTTGCTATATTTCTTGTGGGGCTATTTATAAAGGGGATTTATTTATTCTTTTTTTTTGTTTTTCGAGTAGTGGGCTATGTCAAAAAAACTTGGTAAATGTCAAAACCCGAACACGTATTGGGTCGGGTGGGTTTACATCTTCACTTAGATTTGTCAAAATTGAATTAGAATATGGGTTTACATCAATCTTCAACATCAGATAGGTCTATTATGGGTCGGTATGTGATTGGATGGGTTAAGTCCTCATTTAAATTTTATCGTACAACACGTATTGTTTAGGTTTTTGACCGGATTATGGTTGGAGCGGACCACTTGAATTTCGATATTGACTCCATTCTCATACCAAATCAGTTGACTGAATTGAAAGAGTTATTTAGGCTATTAAATCAATCTTCGTAATGAATCCTGCTCGAACGATGAACTCATGAGATAGAGTAGATTTAGGGATTACTCACATACAGTGAACACTACTTTTTAACAACTGACTACACTTAATTAGTCTCTTAGAACTAAACTGAATTCTAACGTATATGGGTTGGTTTATGATGTTGAACTAACAAACCAGGTCCTTTTCATATTTACTTAATATTAGTTCATTTCTCTGCCGTTGAAATCTATTTACTCCATTTCAGTACAGTTCGAATCAGTTCAGTTCAACTCAGTAACTGGGAACAGGCCCTTACTTCTTCATATAGTTGACACGTGTAATACCATGACACATATAGTTGACACGTGTTCATGTTTATCAGCTTTTGAGCATCTCCCTTTATGAAAAACGATGCTTTCAATAAAACCGATAATATTATGAAAATGCAGCAAAGTGTTAATTTTATTAATTTGATAATTTAGGGTATAATCTCTAATTTGCTCCTCTGATTCGATCTCCACTTTGACTTTTACGTAATTCACAAATTGACTTGATTCTTGAACGAGGGCCGCCGAGGCTTGATCTCGATCAAAGATTTAAAACGTCATTAAATGACCCCGAGATGTATTCTCTAAAACTCAAGGCTTTTTGACACCGTGACCCAAAACCTCCAAAATTTCTCAAAATACGTGGATATTAGCTTTCAATTTTAAATTTATTTGAATTTTTTTTCACTAGTGAATAAAAATTGCCGAAATTTTTACCATCCAATTTTGCACCATCTAATTTGGGTGGGTTGAACTATCCAATTTGGGTGGGTTGAACTATCCAATTTGCCTTTAAAAGGCCAATTTACCGGTTTACAATTTGCACCGATTTCATTAACTCAAGCCTAACACGAACATTTATGATAACATATTTGCATTAAAAAAAACATTTATGACAACAAATAATTATCATAAATGGTTCCAAACGGAATTATATGACCCTGAGATGTATCCCCTAAAATTTAAAGGCTTTTCGACACCGGACCTCGAAACCTGCAAAGTTTCTCAAAAACGTGGATCTTAGCCTTCAATTTTGGAATTTTTTGACTTTTTTCGCCCGAAAATAATTATTTTCGAAATGTTTACAATGGTCCCTAATACCCTTCGGGATTCCATTTGGTGGGAGAAACCATCCACTTTGTCTTTAAACGGCAAATTGTAACAAAATTGTAACAAAATGCCCTAGGATAGACTTCATGTTGGTCGGAGGCTTACGCGCTGGTGAATTCAGTGAATACTTGGCGAAATTGTTGTTGAAAAAACACAAATATGTCTGCAGCTCCTCTTAACATGTACGTTGCTTCCTGAAGACGGAGGTCTGTACGCGTTTTTGGTTATGGCGGCTCAATTATTGAGAGAATATTATTCTTCACATTATTTACACCCTTTGTACATATATATACTTCTAGGAATCAATCCCTAGAATGATCTGACCTAGTGACTCAGCATATCAAGCTGTACTACATGACAAAGAGCATTACAGGACAAAATACAACTAATACACTACTAGGACAGCGGCTCATACTATATAATTAGGCAATAATCTTCATTATTTCGAAACAATATAACGAAGGCACTGAATTATGGTACCGTGATTGGATGGTCCTTAAGAGCACAAATACTCTCCTGAATGGTCGGCGATGTGAATTTAACATCTCGAGTGTAGGGTTAGTGGATTAGTACATCGAGCCTTTCCTTCTAAACACTTCCCAACCGTTCCATTAGTTGTTCCTGATATGTTGTATTTGTTGTCCTTGACCCCTTCAATGAATTTCCCTCGATCAATTGTATTAATTGACCTTGCTCTATTATATTAGTTTTCCGTGCTTTCTTGTGTTAATTTCAGTCGATCTATTGTGCTTGTTGTAACGTGACTAATTGTATTAGTTGTCCGTGATCTATTGTATTAGTTTCCCTTGATGTGTTGAATTAATTTAATTTAGCTTTACTTATTGTATTAGTTCTTCCAGTAGTTGTTCCTTAAGTAGTGTATTAGTTCTTCCATTAGTTGATCGCTTAATGTAATAGTTCCCTTTGGGCGACTACAACTCCCCAAAATTTAAGTACACAAGTTATGTAATGTGCTTGTAGATCTATTATTTTACTAAGAGCACTCTCACTCATGGTCAAAAATATGCCCATGAGGAGAAATTCAAGGTAAAAAACCAAAAACATGTATCCCCCTCATTGGGGAAAAAAATAAATGCCCATGAGAAAAATCAGAAATGCCCAAAAGGTCATGGTGCAGCCCACTAATTAAATCTAATACAATTAGTAATGCTACAGTAACTGGTGCAGCCGACTAATTAAATCTAATAATAGCTATTTTGACCAATTTAACGTATTTAAAAACAAAAAAAAATTATCAATGTTCATAATTTATTTTTATCTATAAGTAGACACCCATTTTGTTATATTTTTGTGCACTTCGAAAAAATAACAATTTTCTACTTATTTGTTATTATTAAAAATTTTACTTTGGTTGTGGGTTTATTTTAGCCCATGAGTGTGTGAGGACTTGTATTTAAAAAAAACGCCCATGGAAAAAAGTGGACTAGAGGAGTTACAAAGTGGGCAGACAGAGAATGACATTTTATTTTTTTGACCATAAGTGAGAGTGGTCTAACATTCACGGTGTCTAGAGAAGTCAAAGGTTGACCCGATGATCATAATCCAACCACCAATGTGTTCGGCGAAAATTACCCGAACCCGAACATTAATCGACACCAAATATATTATTCGTGACCTAGAGATGAACCTTTCTACCAATAACCCGGACATACAACTATGTTTAGATCATACGCCATAATTACATCTAAGACATTTAAATTGATTACTTACCTTGTAAAAATGTGATTATAGGAAATCCTTAATTAAGGTTTTGATTATACCAACAAATCAAAATATTGGTCAACGGTTCCTCTTTTGAATTTGACCAATGCTTCAAACAACATCGTTTTATGTAAAATGGTAACAACTATTAATTTAAATCGAATCGAAAAACTACTGCACACATTCAATTGTTTCCCAACGAATTCAATTACAAAGTAATGTTACATTGGATACCAATTCAATCGTTCAACCAAAAAAGAAACTAAGTTTGCAATGGACAGAAGAAAGTAAGACTAAGTCCAACTTGATTTTTATTATTTAAATATATATTAGGTACGGAGAAGGACCAAAAAATTTAAAAAATAAACCAATAAGCAAAGAACATTAATTACGATACAGACTGTATACTTCAAATGTATTCAATCAGCAAAGAAGCAGCACGCTACCTTAGCTGTGCAAAGTAGTATATGTACTACACTCTAGCATGTTGCTTATAGGGGTTGTTTTTTCATTTCCAAGAATGAGTACATAATTGATTATAAAGGATAATTCCTAATGCATCCATAAACTTGTCTTCAAGTGTTATGGGAACACCCCTCATCAGTTTATTAAAGATTGATTACTAATTGTGACAATGGGACCACGTATCTATAGCGACAAATAACGCATTTCAGAATGTTTTACTTGAGTGCTTAATTGATTAGGATAATATACTAAGTGTACTTTCTAAGGAGGAAATTAATAAAAAATTATTACAACAAACCTTAAGTACACCCAATTTGCCTCTATTGATTAAATTCGATTATTTATTTTGAATTTAATGTAAAGCGAGTAAACAATTATCCGCATTGTAACAAATCTTAAATTTACTTTTTAGTTATCCAAATAGGGTTACTAATATTAAAGTTGTTACTAACAAATCTTAAATTCACTTTTTAGTTATCCAATGTAAAGCGGTTTTGAACCGAAAGGGTCACTAATATTAAAACCGAGAGCGTTTTCAAACTCGTTTGTGGATACCCCAGGTTTTACCAATACCAATCAGTTAATTGTTTCAAACCTGAAACCATTCTCAAGCCCAATCGCATGGGCATCGAATCAAACAATTAGGTGAAAGGCAGCTGAACCGCCAACATTTCTAAACGGAACGTAACCCGAGTTATGCAATATATATTATTGGGGCCAATTGGGTACAAAACGCATATCCAAATACATTTAAAGTTGAACTCATTTCGTAATTCCCTATCACTGTAACTCACGTTTCTGAAAATATTGTTGGTAAATAAATCACATATATGAAAATAATTAATTAGTAATAAGTCACATGTACGAAAATATAAATAATTAATTAACTTGAAATAATTAAAAAATACACGGCCTTGTAGTATTGTGCCTTGTCTTCAAAAGGGTGGTGCACATACGTAAATAATGTTTGTTACTTCTAAAAAATTAGCAAAAAAAAAAAAAAAGGAATAAAAGGCCAATCAATAAAGGACACGTTACATATTTAATTGAGAATAGAAGCTCTCCCCCTTCTCAAATCCCAATTGAGAATATATATACAGTCAGTAACAATAAAGTTATTATTACAAAAACCCCCTATTCACAAAATCATTAAAATGGCTTCCTCAGAGTATAGTAGTGTGCTTCCCCGTAAGCATAGCAATAGAAACTCCACTAACCACCACAATGAGCGTCTAAAACCAAACCGTAGTAAGAAAACCAAAAATAACGTCGTAGTAAACTCAATTTCCAAAATCAAATACTACCGTGCTGAGATTCCAGTTGAAAAAATTGCTAGGAGATTGTCTAAAAAAATGGGGTATGTACGTACCTCCTCCAAGGGCTGCACATGAAAGTGCGGTTGTGGAGTTGCCAACAAGCCAGGTCACATGTCTACTGAGTTAGTTTTCACTATAATAGTGAAAAGTGACTCGGTTGGAGACATTGGGGTTAAGTACAACATAAGGGAGAGTCAGACTTTCGAAGCCGTGTACGAAGATTACGCTGTTAGGGTTGACTACAAGAACAAGGCGGATCTTAAAATTAAGAAGCATAATGTTCCAATCCCTCCTTGTTGCACACCAAATACAGCTGGTGTTGTTGATAATGATGTACTCATAGTGTATGGGAAGGTCTGAATTTGGTTATACCTCTATTTTAATTGCAGTCTTGGTTATGTTATCTGGAATGTCATATAAAATCACCTTGTCTTAACTTGTAATTGTTCTCAAATTCAATACTACTACTCCTAAATGTTTACAGGCCCCCGAAGACAACATGAATGTGAGGCGGAAGCTTTTCTGGGTGAGGGATGTCATGACTACTCCGCGGAAGAAGATGGTGTCCGCAAAGCTAGTAACTCCTCTTCGCAGGCGGTACATCATGTGGGGGGCAACAATCAATGAAGACAGGGCTAAGATGGTGGTCATGTACGAGAACGAGGTCCTTACAAGCATTCAGACGGTGGAACAAGCGAAGATCAAGAACAAATACGAGGTGTTTGCCCTTCCTGTGTCGGTAGTTAACGAAGACTTCTAAGTAACATAGCCAACCCCTTTTGTGTTAGTGGTTCCCTTTTGATGTTGTGTCATTGCCGATTTTACACATGCCACTACACAATAGACATGTTTTGTGCAACAGCTGCCTTGCGTTTATTTCGTAAATTAAGTCACACCTTATTTTGGTGAATGATTAGGCATATATGTAGTAAAGTATGATTATGATTAGGCATAAATGTAGTATGTAATTATGACTAGTAATGGTAATCACAACGTTTATTAAGTTTATTAAAGCCATGTGAATTTACTTTGTGATTGGATGTTACTTATAATCCATGTTAGAATCAGGTAATAATCAGTTTTACACTTGAATGTTACCTATACGTGCAATAACTCTGGCTTGTGGCCCATTTCTTTAGACTCTCTGATATGGCCCAATGTTACATACTATGGTCATATAGTGTTCGATAATAAATGGCCCACATATGTTTAAACTCTTTGATAGGGTCCTTATGTTACATACTTTGGTCATATAGTGTTGCTAATTATTTAATATACTTATATTAAAAAAATAAGTAATTTTAAATCTTTCTTAATTACCATGACTAGTGTACCTAAGCAAGAGGCCTGATAGTACTTAATTACCATGACTAGTGTACCTAAGCAAGAGGCCTGATAGTACCTAAGCAAGGGCCATTTCCTGTTTAATTATATGGGCCAAATGTTCAATGACAAATGATCAGGGCCTTATGTTCAAATATATATTATGGACCTTTTGTCCAGATAAATGATACACAATCAATTTAGTAAGTCATTTTTCTTTTTCCAGTGTTGGTTTTTCCAAACATGTTAACCACGCTTAATCTCCAGTCATACACTATGCAATGTCGAGTAAACCAGAAATCCATATCAAATGGGCCATATGATATAGGCCTTGTGTTACCATATATAATATGTGGACCTTGAATATTAAATACGCACACCAGTTTTTTTTAATCAGTATCATTAAACCATGGACCATTAACAAAACATGTTACAATCTCAACGGAACATAACTAAATACCATAATTAGTTAGACCATTGAATAAAAGCTGTGCAGTCTAAACAAAAGTTCGAAATAAAAACAACCCATGATTGAAAAACACAGTTCAGCTAGAAGTCCATCAAGGTCCAATGGTAAGATAAAACTTAAATGTTTGCAACAATAAGGACCAACTATTAAGTGCACACAGGGATTTAACTAGAACTCCATTGATTTGCTCGTTGTCCCATTTTCAATCCTGACATCAATTTGCTGCAACTCTAATTCAAAGGGATCGTTCTTGTCAGCAGTATCAGACCGTAAGCATCTTCTCTTAGACTGCACAAGAAGATCAATGATCTAAGTGAATAAATATTCACAAATTTTCATCCAAACGACAGAGGCTGTTACGTAACTTACCATGGATGAACCATTGAATGTGGAGGGGTAGAAAGTGTCCAATATGTACTGAGTGGCAGGCTGTAGAGAAACCATTTCATTAAAAATACATTACATAAAAGTAAAAGTACACGCAGAAAATTGCAGTTTAGACTTACATCCTTGCGTTTCTGGCTAGGTGCATCCTTCTTATACCCTTTCTCTGCCAGTGTTTTGTGGTGTCCACCCTTTGGCCTTCCCCTGCGCCTTTTTGGTTTTATTAGATCTAATATGGTACCTGTCACATGACCAGAATTGTTAACTTGAACAGTATACCCCTGAGGTGTTGCCTTTGGTGGGCGTCCCCTGCGCTTCGGGGTGGTAGTTTTACTAGAATCATGGACTGGCTGAGGGGTACGTTTGGGAAAGGATTGAATGGTAGCAGACTTTGGAGGTCTTCCCCTTCGCTTCTTAACTTGACGGGGTTGCTCAACCAATGCAACTGGGGTATTATTCTTGTCATTAGCAAAGATAACGCCTCCATCTAAATCTCCAACCTGGTTTACATCATCATTGGCTGACAGATCCAACAAGTACTCATCAACCTCCTCGACAGCTTAATCATCGTAATCAATAGCTTCATCATTAGCTAAATTATGAACAGAAGACATAGTCATAGGGGACTTGGGTTGTGAAAGACCATGCCCAATAGGGAAAGAAGCAACTTCTGGAAGAGGATTCAATTCATCTTTCTTCTGTTTAAGCTTCTGGACCTGGCCCTTCAATTTTGCAATACCATGTAGAACAAGCTCAACAGCTGCATCATCCACAGTCGAAGCCGTTTCTGAAAGTGCCTCAAAAGCATTCAACATCTTGTTACTCCTCTAAACTGTCACAGATAGTGAGGGGTCATGATATGGTACTTTAACCCTGGTGTGCCTACGAACAATGTCCTTGCGCCATCAAGTTAGGATATATTTCTGAGGGATCTCAAAAACCAAATTCTGATCGAGAATGCGCATACTGTGCTTACACATTATGCCAAAAGTCTCAAATTTACGACAGTCGCACTCTACTTCCTTTGTGCTAGTGTCAAAAGTAACGCGATAAAACCTCCTCCTATCAGTTAGAACCTCATGACTCTGCCCCGCTGGAACAATCCACACCCGATCCTCAAGAAGATACTGAACAACATTATCTAATAACCTCCGTTCATCTCGGCAATAACAATACATCAACCTAAATAATTCAGTCTGCACCTCTTGGAATTTTGTGTCGGTGTACAGCCTTTGGAACACCTTCTCTAGCTTAAACCCACTGATCAACCTTCTAAGGTATTTGGAGCAGTTATCATCAGCAGCCACCTCGTCGTTCACACGCTTCGTCATAGCTCGGGTGTATTGCCGGGGAAATTCAAACAGCCTGGTTTTCCGATTTACAAAGCCATCGAAAAAGCTATTTATACTCTCCACTCTCTGCGTCGTTTTCATGCCCGCCCAAAAAAATTCTTTCATGAAAGCAGGCACCCACATGTGCCTTTCTTCAAACAGACCACAAAGCCATTCATTACTTTCAAGGTTGTACTGGTTCACTGTAGCTGTCCAACTCCTTTCAAACTCCTCAGTAGTAAAACTTTCATAGACCACAGATTTAAGCTTGTTCTTAAACTCATTATACCTGTCAGAATTTCAAGAATGATGGCAGTCAGGGCAAATAAACATTACATCAAAAATAACAAGAAAAGGATCAACACACAGAGAAAGCTGGCATGGTAACTTATGAGGTTTGGACTTACAAAGGTAGTTTGCCCAGCTTATCTGGAAATTTGGACAGTATATGCCATATACACCACCTATGCCTCGTATTAGGCATCAGTTCAGCCAATGGTTTGCGCATCGCAGCAGCTTGATCAGTTAGAAAACCAACTGGTGCTTTGCCTCCCATGCAGGTCAACCATTGCCGGAAGACCCAACGGAATGTTTCTGAATCCTCGTGAGAAACAAGTGCACAACCAAGCAAAAGAGATTGACCATGGTGGTTGGCCCCAACAAAATTAATAAAGGGAAACTCATACTCGTTAGTGAGGTAGGTTGCATCAAAACAAACTACATCACCGAAGCATTCATAAGCAGCCCGACTACGGGAATCAACCCATAAAACATCTTTCAACCTGCCATTAGAATCAACCCTGTTCACATGGAAAAAATTCTGGTTATCAGCCATCATATACTCAAAATAAGCCATCATAGCAGCCGAGTCTCCACCTTCCATCTTTGATTTCCGCTCCTTATAAACCTCATGCTGCAGATCCTTCACAGTCATGGTCAAGTTCTCTTCCATTTCAGTCCCAAGACAACCATGAATTTTACGAACGGAAACACCCTCATCAAGATAATTCATTAACTTCTTCCTAACATTTGATGAGTAATTCTTCATTCTGTACTCCTTAACCAGTTTTGCTTTACCAGGGCTGGTTAGGTGTTTATGTTCTAACTCTGCAGTCTTAATCACCCAAACACCTTCGCCATTCACACTTGCATAAATCCTTGCCTCACACTCACACTTCTTTGATTTTCGCTTACAACGACTTAACTCATCCTCTCCAATTACACCTCCAACAACCCCACCAGTACCACAAACCTGCATTTCTTTCGCTCTCTTCTTGGCCTCCCTCACTGCCCTCATATCAAGTCTACCCCAGCACTGACAACGCCAAGTCATCGCCCTACGTTCCTTTTCCCTGGTGTATGACCCCTGCACCCTGGTCACCCCAAAACCAGTATGTTGAGCGTATTCCTTGTAATAGGCTTCAACGTCCAGCCAGGTCTTAAAAGCCATTCCTTCCACTAGGGGTTCCACATAAGACACAACAGTATCCTTGTTACTAGACACAACGGTATGCACAGTTTCTACTGTCCGAACTGGTGTCCTGTATACACGACTACCTTCTACCAAACCCCCACCATCAGCTCCCGGGGAAACAGAAGGAACCACCTCGACACAAATTCCATTAGGAGAGCACTCAACATCTAAATCAGTGCTACAACTCATTTCAACAACTTAAACTTATTCAAGCTAGCAGATCAAAAATGCCAATACCCACAATATATTGACACCCCAGAATCTGTGAATAGATCAAGTAGCAACATACAGAAATCACTGATTAATTCTTCACTCACGACAATTCTAAACAAGTTTACCAGAATCACTCAAATTACAATGGAATAAATATGTATTTAATCGTAAATTCTAATAAAAAAAAATCAACTCAAATAAGCTAATCAAGTTCAAAAAAGCACTCATACACAAGTACGCTACTATCAACCCCAACTGAATAGTAACAATTAAGAAATTACTGTCATTAACGCACAAAACCCTAAACAACCAACGAATTAAAATTAAAACAAGCAACTAAGATGATAGCGAGAAGCACGGAAGTAATGGTAGCATAAAAAAATGAAAAAGAGTAACTGACATACCTAATTTACCGCGGATTACAAGAACAAAAATACCAATCACTCGCCGGATTCCGCCATTCACCAACTTCAGCTAAGCAGACACATGAAGAGCTACGAAAAAACCAACCCAGAAGACGGGGCACAGTAAGATTTAGAAAGGGGAAAGTAAAAAGTAGATTCTAACCATGGTTAAGGAAAGAATAACGATAACAAACGTCCGTGAAATTTACACCTTGGGACCACATTGCGCACTGTCAAAGAGCTTTACACTTTATTGCACATGTGTCATCAAACAGTGGGCCACCTTTTATGAGATAAATGTTTTTGGTTAATCCCAGAGATAAATGGGGACCTCCTTTATATATATAATTTTTTTTTGAATGCTATTTGTATATAATATATTAGCAGGTTCAAGGATTATTTTTGGTGCAATTTAATAATATTGAGCAGGATATATATACAGGATTATTTTTGGTGATTACAGGTTGGATTAAAAAAAAAGATTTATACAGGAATCATTTGGCGCAAAAATTTAATGCAGCAGGTAGGATTTAAAAATTTGATTATTCGAAAGAAAAAAAAAAATTTAAAAAAAAATTACCCATTTGAGACCGGTTATCATACATGCATGGTCTATACACAAACGCTGTATATTCTTTTTAAAAAAAGAGAGACCGCCTAACTAAGAAAGTGGTCTTAGTTATTTCAAAAAGAGAGACCGGCTAAGTAAAAAAAGCGGTCTTAGTTTGGTATACAAGAGACCGCTTTTCTGACAAAAACGGTCTCTTATGCTCTACAATTTCAAAATATCAACCACCCAAAGAGACCGCTTTTCTTAGATAATCGGTCTCTGGTATAGCAACTTAAGACCGCCTCTTTACAAGCGGTCTCTTAGCCAAAGAGACCACTGAGCTAGAGACCGGCTCTAAAGCAGTCTCTTTGGCCTTTTTCAGCTGGTCTCTTTGGCCTTTTTTGTAGTAGTGTGTGGTCAATAGAAAAAAAAGGTCTCTATGTTAAATTAAAGGGTACTCCATATTATATTAAAATAAAGTCATTGTGTTATTATAAATGTCACAAGAGGTTAATTATGAAATTTTTGATATATAGGTCAATGTGAATGATAAAGAGCACTATACTAAAATTAGGGTCACTATGTTCAAAATAGCACCGTACTTCTAATTCATAAAAATATTAAAGGTCGCACGATTTTTTATAAAGGTTAATATGTTAAAATCAGAGTCATTATGTTCAATATATAGTTAGTTGCGCATGTGTAGATCTCGGATCCACAATAATATTATTGTGGACCTGGTCCATGCAATTTTTTCAATTGTGGTCAATTTGAGCAAAAATAAGTTTTAATTTAATTTCTTTCAACAAAAACAAAATGCTAACTTGATCTGTTATCTTAAAAGTAATTACTTTTGACAAATATAAAGACATAGTGTGAAACAACAAAATTTTCTTAATCGATTAATGAGAACTATTTAAGATTATTAATTAATATACAAAAGTTAACGAGTGCCCTATGGGCGTTAGAAAAGAGAACTAAATATGAAAATTTTAAAGTAAAATAAACATTAAATTACACTAATCTTCCGATCGACACATAATTTTATCATGCATTTTGAATATAATAATATTTTAAGTAATATATATATTACAAGTAATTATTTATCAAACACCCCATGACGCTTGTTGGCAATCATCAATACTTATATACTTAAAGATACACCAACAATGAACAATGACATGTGTCATTTTCTGGTATGTCTCTTATATTCTAATTATTTTTTAAAAATAATTCCATATAAAAAACAAATGTTAGACATAAATAAAAGATTTGATGTGTCCTTATATTTATTGTCAAATATAAACTTAAGTATAAAACATAATTCCTTATTTACATAAATAAAATATATATTTGTTGTATCCTTCCACCATACAATATATAGTCAAATGCATATTTTAAAATATCTGTTTGGAAAATAAGATATTTTATAATCCATTATAATATTTACATATGTAAATTTACACAATGTTAATATTTTTGTCTTTAGTTTGTAGGGCTTGACACACTTATGCATAAAATAAATAAATAAATAAAAAATAACAATAATAATAAAAAAAACCTTATATAATATTAATTTAAAATTATTTATTAAAAATCTTAATATACGGCACAAGGTCTAACCTACCATCCTTATTAAGTTATTAATATAAAGACATGAAATATTGCTGTAACCTGATATTAAATGTCAACAACCTATGGTAAACGATTCTTACTTTATAGTCTAATCTTACGATTAATACAACCCAATTATAGGAAGACTAGTCAATCATATTGACTTTCTCAAAATTCTACACACCTTAATTAAACCGTTTTCTTTTTAACGAAAATCATGCATTTGTCTCCATGATTTACATTCTTCTTGGAGATCTAATCTCATTTTATTTTCCATCCCCCATTCTTTTGACTCTTTCTCTCTATATAAGATTACGTGTACACCTATGCATTTGACGCAACCCCTTACCTCATGACCTAGATTTTATATAATAAAATATAAAACACTATATATATTATGGTATATATAATATATATATATATATATACCTTATTATATAAAATTATATGATGATAAATTAATTAATTAATTAGTTAATTAATTAATTTAGTCACCCCCATTACATCTCTTCTTTGGTCTTTAGCTTTGACCTCTTTTAATGCCGAGTCCATCTCCTAATTTTTGCTTATAATCTCTTAAATTATTTCTGTATTGTTCACTTTCTCAACTCTTTAGACTTCTACCTTTTCTTTTTGTATTTCCACCTTTTTCTTCACCTCTTCTTCTTCCTATTTTACACTAATAATTACTCTCCATAAATATAACCTTCTTAATTTTGACTCCCCCACTAAATTTTTATGATCTAGCAAATATTTGAGAGGATCATAATATATACACAATAAAACATGGAATATCATATAAATCATAGCTATATTAGAAGAGATGATGATGATAATATTGAGGATGATCATGTACCTCAAAAGCATAGGTTCAAGGAGATGGACTTTTTTCAAGGCTCTACTTTTTCTTCAAAGGGGGCATTAGAAGAAAGTGTTACTAACAAAGTTGACAACAATGGCGGCGACATCCAAGATGGTTTTGGTGATGATGATGATCATCTTAAACTACAACTTGATGTATGCAACTAAAAATTATACTATAGTTTTGTCTTGTTTATGTTGTTTAAAGTCATTTATCATTATTTTTTGTGACTCACTTCATTTTATGATCATAGACCGGGTTAAAGCTTCAAGTGGCTAGAAATTTCGATTTTGTTGAGAAAACTACGGTGGGAGATGAAGTAGAAATGCTACAATCTCATGATGAGAATCAAAATGCTAAGGATGAGGTGATTAACACTTAGTAAACTCGTGTATATACGTAAATCTTATGTGATTATGATAATTATGTACGTATATTTTTATGTTGTTCTAACTTTTAATTTGATAGAATTGGTTCCTATTTTATTGTTATACCATGGAAATCTAATTTATTATATGTGAGTGAAGATGATAATTCTAAGGGAGGAAATTGCACGAAAGAGCGTCGAAAATCAAAGATTGAAGACTTTACTTGATCAAGTTACGAGCAGCCACCAAGCCCTACAAATGCAAATCATGACAATGGAACAACTCCAACTTGATCAAAATAAATCCATTAAAGTCCACCCAATAGAGGTATATATTTCCCTTTTTTTTTTCCCACATTTACTTATTTTAGAAATGTTATACTTTAAAATTATATATTATGTTGGAAAAGAAAAACTTAAAAATTTATAGGTAATGAATCATCTAATTAATATATATGAAATTTTTGTATAAAACATTCTATTCTATGATCTACACGTTTATTATGTGGATTCGTGCATATGATTTCAGACATTAACCAATGAGGGAGTAATAATAAATGACAAAAGGAAACAACAAATGGGTCAATTCGTGGGTCCAAAGCAAGAAAGTCTGATCACTGATGGAGATGATAGAAGGAGGTCCAATTCAAATTCGAGTGATACCAATAGAGATTACGAGCAATTAAATAGATGTCGTGAAAGAGAAAAACAAAATACAAATAACATGCAAAGAGTTGGGGGCATGGCGCCTACAACCGTAGAGACCGAGGAGGCTCATGAAGTAACCATGAGACGAGCTCGCGTATCAGTTCGAGCACGATCTGAAGCAAATATGGTGTGTGTAATGTTTAAATTTCATGTCACTTTCAGTTATATAATTTCATGATATTTATTTGTATTCAAATAATAAATTTAATTAAATACAAAACTACAAACAAATGACAAGAATCTAAGCAATAACGGAAAACAATGCATGAGTTTATTACGATATTAGCGTTACGCTGTTGGTAAATAAAACAACTAAACAAATCACATCATAAATTGCTTCTTTCTGTTGATGAAACATTTTATATTATTGTTGTTTCCTTAAAAATAACTAACTGTAATTAATTACTTGTTAGTGTTGTTACAAATCAATAACATCTTGGCCTGTTGTCAAAAACTATGAGTTTATACTTGCATGTTTAGATTTTTCTTCTTCCAGTTATTAGGATTAATTCAGATAAAATAAGATATTAACTAATAGCATTCTTATGCAGATTAGTGATGGATGTCAATGGAGAAAGTATGGTCAAAAAATGGCAAAAGGAAATCCTTGCCCTCGAGCTTATTATCGTTGCACTATGGGAGTTTCTTGTCCAGTTCGCAAACAGGTTAATCCTTCTTTAATCATATTCTTTGTACCTTTTTGTTTCAATAACTAACTTGCCAGTTAAATTTGAATAGTTGTTACATGAACCTATTGAAATTTGGTTGAACTTATTTTTCACAAATAAATTATTTGAAAAGTGAAAAGAATAAAGAAGCAAATCGATCAGATTAAAAACCTTTGAAGCCAAAAATAGTTTAGGCCTCATCATTAATGTAACTTACAATTATTCTCTATCAAAGCTTAGTAGATGATCTTGATCATCTAAAGCCAACAATTTACAAAGTGTTCCTTTTCCATTTATAGAAGTTGCAATGGGTAATAATAGCATTATAGTTTGAACCATTTCTAGAAACAAACTCTGGAAAATACCTAATTCAGTACTTACTGCAAGTATATATGTACAAGTGTATCACTTAGGTGTGGTCTTTAATTGGTTCACAAAATGCGGATATAGTTATGGGCTTATATTATTGGAGAAAATTGCAAAAATTAAAATTTTGGTGCTAGAATATTGCAAAATTTAAATCATATCTTAAATTCTCAAGGTATGCGGTTTAAAAATTGAAGAAAGGGGTGGATGATTATGCTGAACTTCTAAATATTAAATAAAAAAAACAGATCAATTATTAAAAATAAAACAAACACGTGGTATATATTGTGAATCAAGTACGTTCCAAATTCATATTAGTATGATCCTATCTCATTCCATACGGTCTTGTTAACCCCAATCACCCTTACTTGGTCCTTTGTAAGAAAGAATACCATTAAGTAATAAGGCAAGGTTACAAAGCTCAAAGAATAATTTAAACATAATTGTATCTTTATTTAAAACAAATTGTGTTTCTACATTATCGTAGTCGACCTATTTTGACTCGATATTTCGTAGAAAATTTTCTAACTTACAATCAGTTGTATCTTATAGATACAAAAAGAGATATTTCTCTCATTTAGTGCTTCCACAAATAAACAATAAGCAAAGAGTTAGCTTTGATATACAATGGATAGAGTATAATCAATTGTACACCAAAATTAAAATAGTGTGTTATCTAGTAATATGCGAATTTAAATTAAACATCCCTATAGCTAGGAGGCAACAAATATTTCATCTTTACAAGGCCATCTTCTTTGTACATTCCTTTGATATGTTACTAAATTATGTGCTTAATAATGTAAAATTCTCAATCCACAACACAAATGTTGTTAAAGTATCAACTTAACCAAAAACTTAAGATGATGGTTGAGGCCTAGAATATGTTTTATAATCTATCACTTCCCTTCACATGAGAGCCTTTTGGGCTTGAAATGTGGATGAAGCATGGACTCTTCACATACTCTGCACAAAATATTCCATGTTAAAGGATCAACTCAACCAAAAACTTAAGCCGATGGTTACGGTCTAGATTTATATTTTATACTCTATCAATTATTATATGCACACAAATATGCAATGAATAGCTTGAAGACAAAAAAATAGAAAAATAAATAAATTGGTATGGTACATCTAGAAAGAGATGGACAAAGCATTACAACTATTAACTATAGTTATTCTTTTGTTTTAGAATACTTGCAACGATTTAACTTTTGTACTATGCATAATTGCATACAATAACTTTGACCATATTTTATTACTACTCGTAACATTTATTTATAAATCAAATGTTATTGCGTAAAATTGTTTAATTAGTTATAGAATAAAAATAAAATTTTCTATACAATTAGGGCCTGTTTATATTTACTTATTTTCAGTTCAGTTCAATTCAGTTTTATGCATTTTAATTTTTCAGTTCAGTTCAGTTCAGCTCCAATCAGTTCTGTTCAGTTCAGTTCAGTTCAGCTCCAATCAGTTCAATTCAGTTCAGTTTAGTTCAGTCCTGTTCAGTAAATATGAACAGGCCCTTAGTCAAGCACTTTACCTTATTTATCATGTCAATTATTGACCTATAAATTGGCATAAATTTTGTTATTTTATGTTGACATATATATAATTTTTGTTTTTGCATTAGATAACCTTAGGCAGCTGTCTAAGCTTAAGGAATATATTCACGTTCATTATTCTAGCTAGTATTTACACAAAGTTAACGTTATCATACCTTATATTCTATTTCAATAGGTACAAAGATGTGCAGAGGATAATAGCATTCTCATCACAACCTACGAGGGACACCACAACCATAACTTACCACCCGAGGCGGTACCCATGGCCAGCACAACAACCTCGGCCGCCTCAATGCTCATCGCTGGCTCTAAGTCATCAAGTCCGATGGACGGACTATTATGTCCGTCCATCTTCTCACAACCCACGGCTCTCCCGGGCCTCCCAAGCTTGGCCACAATATCTGCCTCGGCCCCGTTCCCTACCATCACATTAGACCTCACTCGGCCACAAGGCTCACACCCACAAGGTAACAACAGTAACATGTCGTGTGCAAACGCAAATGGGCCGGCCTTAATGGGCCTTATGCAACAACTGTTGGGCCATGGGCCCAACAATGAGCCCAATAGAGAAAATGGTAACTTGCCATTAGTTGACCCATTAAGTATTGCTAAAGCTGCCCTTGCTTCGGACCCTAATCTTGCTTCAGCTTTAGCAACGGCTATATCCTCAATAATTAAGGGCAATTATGACTCAATTAATAATGTTAATAATAATGGTAACAGTAGTGAAATAAGTATGGGTAAGCAAAGTTCCAAGGACAATAACTCTGAATTGTCCAATATATCAGAGAATTAATAGGTTAATTATCAATAATATAATCATCATTTTCAATTTTTTATTTCCTTATTTTAATCATTAGATTTATTTTTTTTTTCAAAAATTTTGACCTGCCTAGAATCATTTGTACTACGTTTTTTCTTTCTTTTTTTTTTTTTTTTTTTTTTTTTTTTTTTTTTTAATTCTTTTAGATTCCATGTATCTAATAAGTAGTGTAATTTATAATTTTGAAGGATATTATATTGCATTTATTCTTCAATTATTCGATCAGTCATGAAGTTCATCATATAGTTCAATTAATCAAACATATCTAACAATCAAGTCAAACATCAACTTTATTTTGATATCTTTTGCTCACCAATATCCCTTGATTCATGCTTTATGTCTAACATATTAAACATTAATTTATAATTTAATTAACCTCAAATTATCAGTTTCAACTATGGCATGACTAGGAAAGCAAGAACGTGGCTGGAATTTGTTATATACACTAGGTGCACATCTAACTATTTCAAGGTTAATTTTTGCTCTTTATTTGATAATTAAATGAAAAACAATCTTCAAAATGAGAATAAAATACTCATAGATGTATGGTGCACCTAGGTGTATATAACAATCTCTCCAAGGTGGCAAACGAAAATCAAACCTCTAACTTATTGATCGATAGTGTAATTTAAAAAGCAATGCTGACAACGATTTAATTTAAACGAAGGCAACATCAAATAACATTATTGGAACGGATAAGGGTCTATTAATTTTATAATTTGGTAATGGAATGAATATATAGAATACATAAAATAGTACAATTGATCATGATTAACAATAGGACATGATCTGATCGATTACCATGCAACAATTCATGCACGTTTTATACATACAATTTTTTTACTAGCTATGAGTTATTTACAGTTTCTAACTGAGAGTTGTGACGTTAGCTTCAAGCCTTCAAGCTGATTAACTTACATCCTCTCCTTGTGATGAGTTGGTTCACTAGCTAGCTTAGCCGTAGCTTGCGCCGCCTTTCCCTTTAGTCGATGAAGCTCATTATCTTCCCTCAATCGAGAAATCTCATTCATATAATAGTGCAGTCTGTCTATTATGAAAGCAAGAAACAAGGAGATTCCTATACAAAATTTGGGGATAAAGATTATGATAGGTCACAAAATAATAGAAAATTTGTCTGGAAGGGACATATATATTCACTATTTTGTCTGGAATAACCTTATATGAAGTATGTTTAAAGTGGTCTAAAAGGACCTTATAAGTTTATTTTCTTATTTGGGGGGACCTTGAAATCGGAATTTGGCAATAATTAACTTTTTTCTCCAACGCTGATCTCTCATATGACCTTAAAATATGACCCCCTTTTCTTTTTTTTTTTTTTCCATGATTTCCATCAAATTCCCTTATTTTGATTTATATCATTTGGGGATTAGAAGAGAGAGAAGGAGGAATTGGAGGGAAATCGTGGAAAAAAAAGAGGTTATTTTTTAAGGTCATGTGAGGGGTCAATGTCAAAAAAAAAAAAAAAAAAAAAGGTCAATTATTGACGGATTCCGACCTCAAGGTCTTCTCGAACAACAAAATAAATTTATAAGGTCCTTTTAGACCACTTTAATTATATAAGGTCATTCCAAACAAAATAGTGAACATATAAGTCCCTTCTAGACAAAATTTTCAAAATAATTCACAATTTTACTAGTTGAAATTAAACTTTATTAAAAATAAAATCTATACTAGTTAATTAAGTCTGAATTCAAGAATTATGTACCAAGAAGAGTTGTTTCGAGGAGATGATGAGCCATAAGAACTTGTTCGGTTGGATTAATGGCACCAGCATCCATGAAGCGGCGATGGGCTTCTAAGAGGCCATACAAGCTTGAGAGGAACAACACGAGCATCGTTATAGACAAAGTTTGCGCAACCACAGGACCGCGGCCAACCTTGAGCAAGCTTAGCCCTTTCACTAGAAGCTTTCTCAAAGGAGTTCGGAACAAAAGGATACAAATGAGAAGAATTTCCGTTAACACCAATGGATACATTATGTACAGAAACATCTTCAACCGAAAAATATAGGTTTCTGAGCTTAATAGTTGGAGATTCAGAGACAATGTTTAGTACAAATTTTGTGATTTAATTGGTTTTTCTCAATTTTAGGACTAGGAAAGAAACATACGATGTTTAATTTACTTAATGATTAAAAGTAGAGAAATTAAAAAAAAGAATTATAAAACTTCTATTTTAATTAAGGTATGACTGTGTCAGAAAGAAAGAAACTAACTCAAGTAGGGTATATACTATATAGTTTACAAACATTACCTTTTTTTGTCATCAACCTTTGATTCTCAAATCTTAACCAAACCATCAAGTAAACAAATACTACGTATAAAACTTTGATGAAGCACTATAGAATAAACTCAATGAAGTACAGTGCAAGTTATTTACCCTCAGAACATATTTATTTAGCACTTCTACGACTAAATTTCTTACATACATCCATCCATGTATATAACCCACTTAACGCCCTTCATGACTCATATATATATATTAAAGGACAAACTCAACCAAAAACTTAAGCTGGTGGTTGAGGTCCAGGAATAAAGTTTTATACTCTATCAATATCCATTTTTGATAAGTTGCTTTGAGGATGCCCCGGTTTCTCATGGTGAGAAACAAATTTATTTCTCATAATGACATTTATGTGAATAAATCAACAACTTTTTCATTATTGTGGGCTCCACAATTGAATAAAGTTGTTAATTTATTTACGAAAATGACATGTGAGAAATAAAATTTGTTTCTCACCATGAGAAACAGGAAATTTCCCAATTTGCTCTTACTTATATCTACTGTACGTACTACCAACCTTTTCAAATCACATGGTTAATTGTATTGCGCGACCCATCCCCTGATGAAGGGTTAAGGAACTTATCTTACAAGGTTTGGGTGGATGATCAGAACATGACAGTAAAATCAATCATAAGCCAGTTATATCACAAGTTTCTGAAGCCATAAGATCGAATTAGCAACATGACAGTAAAGTCGACCTAAACGATACAATATACAAGATGAATCCATCTGGTTGGCCGTAGCAAAAACAGGATGTCATACTCATAGCTAACAATAAAATTAACAAGACTAGGACAACGAACTCATCATCATTCCAATTACATCCGAACTTGCAACTTCATACATATATTAAGAGAAAATTAATTCTTCAACAAATGCATCCATAAGTTATATTAAATAATAAAACCCTTAGACATCGAGCCTAATTTCAATATTGTTAAGACTAGGACAACGCCACTTAACCCAAGAGGGTGGCGGAAAGAAGAGTCTAGTACTCAACTCCTGGCGCTTCTCACAAGACATTTCGTCACCATCCTCATCATTTTCGTTCACGATGAACAATTTGAAATAATCTTCATATGTCGGATAAATCAAATTATATTCGCCCGTGATTAACAAATCGAAATAATAATATCCATACTTCACAACATCGAAAATACGACGACGAAGACACTCTGATCCGTCGGACATACAATGTGGATTCCACCTCGCTAGCTCAATATGGTTACGTCGGGTTAACTGAACTGGCCCGCTTGTATTAAACGAGTAAATTGAATTGGGTTTCCATAGTGCTAGGCTTCTTGGTGAAGGTGGAAGAGCAAATGACACATTACTTCCAATGAAAAATGTCATATTTCCTATGTTTTCAACCCTTTCCCACTTACTCTTCTTCTCATCCTTTTCTTCCCTTAACATGAAAACTAGCTTATGTCTATGAATTATATCCTCCCATACCGTGACATCGATAACCAAATACAAGCAACTATTAGTTTTAGATGATACCAAGTTTGCATCCATGCTCATATAGTTACCTTCACTTAGATGCAAAATGCCTTGAACATCGATTACTCGCTTCATTGTTGAGAGATTACCTGCACAAGTATTCAGGTTGTCAAGATTTGATTATATTAATTTCGACAATTTCGTATATATCACTCACCAATAAACCGGAATAGCCACATGGATGTCAAATAGCTTAGAATTTGGTTCTATTCAACTTATTATCTTAGATACTTGTAACTTTTGTTTTTCAGATTCAAATCAGACCAAAATATTTAAGCTAGACTACATTATAACATTTCAATTTAGATTAAGGGACTGTTCACATATACTTAATTTTAGTTCCCTGAATTCAGTTGAGTTCAGCTCCAATCAGTTCAGTTGAGTTCAGTTCAGCTCCTAATTTATCTATCATAAAATATTCAGTTCAGTTCAGTTCAGCTTAGTTCAATAAATAAATGTGAATAAACCCTTATTATTGTTGATGGTATTTTTTTTATTTTTTGGTATGAAAGTTACATACTTAAAAAGTACATGATGAAATAACAAGAGCTAAATTGATAATAATGTTTTTGCTTATAATTAGTGTAAATTTGCGGTGGTTTAGTCAAATTTATACAATGAACATGCCATACCAGACCTAACACCAGGTCTTATTAAAATCAAATCAGATTAACCTAATTATGGTGAAAAGAACAAACTCAATTATAATTGGGAAAAGTCATAATAGAATGGCATCTAAGAATTTGAATCAAATTCATCTACATCATTTTCCCTTGCAACTCTAACTAAACGAGATAAACAAAATTATAAATTAAGGAAATCGAGGTGTGCCCATACCTGGATTGATCGTCCAAACTTGACACTGATGAGATCGTCCAAACCGAAAGGCATAAAATTTGCCATTGTGAAACTCAACATCTTGAAACACCCCATAAATAGAGGTGTCCACCGTGCGAGTCGTGCGAGCTGGGTTAGGGTTAGGTGGGTCGCGGGTTGGGGTTTCATGACACACGGCACGACACACGTAGGGTAGGGTGGGCCGGGTCGTGGGTTGGGTCGGAGAAGTTGGACACACCAGGGTTAGGTTCGTGGGTTAGACGAGTCGTGGGTGGGTCGAGCTGGGTTTGTGGGTTAGACGGATCGTGGGTGGGTCGAGCTGGGTTTGTGGGTTAGACGGGTCATGGGTGGGTCGAGCTAGGTTCGTGGGTTAGACGGGTCAAGGTGGGTTAGTGAGTTAGGGTGGGTCGAAGGGTGGGTTAGTGGGTTAGGGTCGGGTGGGTTTGTGGGTTAGGTGGGTTAGGGTCGGGTGGGTTCGTGGGTTAGGGTCGGGTGGGTTGTGTGGTGTTTTAATTTTTACAAAATTAACAATTTGATGGCTTGCTCTTAATTAAGATGCCTACGTATCCTTATATTATAAAATAAGGAATCAAAGCCAGCGTAGTTCTTATATTGTACTTCTTTTGAAATTTGGGGGGGGGGGGGGCTTGGACCTATCTTTAGAAAACTAAAATTTAATTTTGCAAT